TTAAAATGATGATCCCCGAATCACTGACTTTGCTGTCGTTTGAAGATGATTGAAGATGCCTTTCCAGAATAAATCCAAATCCTTAAATATTCCTTCAAGAAAACGTTCAGAACCGTCGCCAGCAACCGCCGTCAACCGCCCACAACGAAACGTTTTGAAACGTCGTCTGGGCGGTTATGGCAACCGTTCACAAGGTCCTCCTCTGTCGACACGTGTCTTACACCGTCTCGCTAAACGCTTCTACCAATTCCAGAACTCAACTGGCCCGACCGACCATTCCAGAGACTAATTGGTCGCTAGACCAAACGACTTATTGGTCGCCCCATCAAGCGACCAACATCTGATCTCTCCAGACGATTCAATTGTCGCCCCAACCAAGCGACTGAACTACTGTTCACTTAATTAGGCGACTAATTAACAGACCTTCGCTTGGTCCAAACTTCGTATTGGCCGACTCAACCGATGGCGGACCAACCGACTGCGAACCAACCGACTGCAAACCATCCCATCCGACTGCAGACCTTCCGACCTGCCTATCCGACCGCGGACCTTCCGACCTGCCTATTCGACCGAGGATCAACCGACCTGCTTATCCGACTGCGGACCAACCGACCGTGGATCAACCGACCTGAGTGCATATTTTTTCCTTTTCCGCCAGACTTCGTGTCCTAACTTCCTCTAAGATCCTACTATTATTATTATTATTATTATTATTATTATTATTATTATTATTATTATTATTATTATTATTATTATTTGTGCGTAACAGTAATATTTTTTCAACCATAGCCTTTAACATTTCACCCTCATCGATGAAAAATTTTGTACAACCATGCGAATTATATTCAAACTTATACATATAAAAATAAATAAATATAATCTTTTTGTTAGCTATATATAAGAAAAATAAAGTAATATGTATATATATATATATAAATAACAATGTACCTCGTATCAAGAAAATTTATCTCACTAGTTTGAAAATTATTTTCTAATAAATACAAGTTATCTACATGAACAATTAATCCAAAGATATCTACACAAAAAATAAATCATATCAAATAATATGATAAATTATATAACACTCCCTTGTATTTTAGTAAAAATGTACAAAATACTATGTATTTATTAATTGTGTGAAACCCCTTTATGTTAATTTAAAGTTTGCACAAAACATCTTCCTTGTCCAAAGATGATGTTTGGATCTAAATAAATACTTAAATTGCGCAAGTTTTATATAAATAAAAGACGTAAGATATCTTCAATATATTTTTGAATAAAATAAAAAATAAATAATTGATCAATCATTTATTTTTATAATTTTTTTTTAAAAAATCAGACAGTAATTTGTCTAAAAAACACTATAAAATGAAGGATTAAATAACCATTTATTTATTTATTTAATTCAAAATAATTATGTAAGATATAATATCTCTATTATTTGTATAAACCTTGTATTATTTGGTTCTTATTTACAATTAAGTGTCAGTCTTGGACGAAAATGGTGTTTCGTACAAATTTTACATTAACACAAGGGAGTTTCACGCAATAAATAAAATACGAGATGTTTTATGAATTTTCACTAAAACACAAAGGGATGCTATATAATTTACCCTAAATAATTAAATAAAGATAAAGATATATTAGATACACATTATACCATATATGTATATGTACATGAATATGAACATACCAATAAGTTGATCTTTCTTATTGACATAGCCATTCAATTCATTTAAAAACACAATATTGTAGAAATTTCTTGGAAAATCTTCATCGCAACTTTGTAATTCTTTAATGATATTATTTTGGCGCAATATTAACTGATAACGATAAGACATATTTTATATTTTTTGTCAGCTATTATCATTTGTACATTATGAATGTTATAAACAATTCATTCCATGAGAGATGAACTTATGTGTGGTAAATTAATTCCCGGTACTATGCATTGTATTGCAAATCCCTATCCAATAAAAAAAAAAAAAAAAAAAAAAAAAACTCTTTAAAGAATAACATTAACCAAATATTATAAAACATAATGAATATACGTACTTATATAATTGTCAAAGAACATCTTCAAAACTCTGATTTTGAATTTTGGATTTCGCACATCCAATAATCTTAAGTAATCAAACTTTATCATTTGCATTTGAACATTTTGAAGTTAAAGTTCTTAAGTCTGAATAAGCTGCATATGCATCACAAATAAATTCATATCATTATGACTAATGTTAGAACTCAACTTATAATGACAATATACAATTAAATAATAAGCATAATAAAATAATATATAAAAAATTTGAAATTGACTACCTGATGAAAAAATAAATACTCCTTTCGTCCCTTAAATAAGTATTCATTTATTTTTTATACGTAGTTTAAGGTATATTAATATTATATTGATATATAGAAAGAATAATATAGAAATGAAAAAAAATAACCTTATTAGTATGGTGTGATATCAAGGTAATAACATTTGTGTAATATATTGTAAATTGTATGGGTATTTGTAATGTTAGGTAGATAATACAATTACTAAAAAAGGAAATGAATATTTTGTTATGGGACGGACCAAAATGAAAAAATAGATAATTTGTTATGGGATGGAGGGAGTATAAGTTTTAAATAGAATTAAGTACTTTTAGATATACTATAATTCTAGTACAATTTGAAGGGGTGTCGCTTTTGTTACGAATGTCAATTTTGAAACCTGGTGGATTTGTCAATCTTGATAAAGCAACATACAATATACAATGAGAAAAAACTGGATTTGGCAAATATAATCCAACTCTATTTAATGTATGACTCTGGCTCTTGTTGATTGTTATTGCAAATGCCAATTTAATTGGAAATTGTCTCCTTTTTATCTGGACATATGTTTTTTTATTGATTTTTGGTCAATATGATCTCTGGTATTAAGAAATCTTCACCAATATGAGAACCACTGATAATCCGTACTTCAAGAACGTTATCAACTTCAAAATAGTCAATCGTGTTCCATGACAAAGACCTATCTTTAAGTTCTAAGAAATGATTCCGACATTCAAAAAAAATTATACTATTTAGCAACTCAAGGGGGTTGATATGATGATTAGACTCTTGGGGTTTCCTCGGTGCTACAGTGTTAGCACTATAATAGCGTCGAATATCTCTGGATAACATGGATAACATTTTGGATTTAATTTGATCAACATTTTTATTTTTCAGAGCCAAAATGGTCTTGCAAATAAGTTGAATCCTTATATCTCTCATTTAATTGTGGATATTTTTGACAAAAAATTGTGTTATTTTTAATAAACACAAAATTTGTACAAATTATATTCAATTTAGATTTAAAGCGGGTCCTATTATCTAAATTAGTCATTTGATTCTCTTTCCGGGTTGATTTATTTTTCAACTTGGATTTGAATGGCTTCTTTGATCTGAAGGGATTTGGTCTTCGGTTTGGCTTTATGGGACTTTGGAGGGGTTTGGTCTTCATGCGGGTGATTTTGATCCTCAGCTTTGACTTTGGGTTTGATGTATCATTTGGACGATCCGAATGAATTTGATCTTCGGTTGGCTTTGCCAGACTTTGGAGGGCTTTGGTCTCCGTGTGAGCGAATTTAATTATCAGCTTTGAATTTGATGTCTTTTTGGACGATCTGAAGGAATTTGGTCTTCGGTTGGCTTTACCGACTTTTGGAGAGCTTTGGTCTTTATGCGAGTGATTTTGATCATCAGCTTTGACTTTGGATTTGATGTCTCATTTGGACAATCCGAAGGAATTTGGTCTTCGGTTTGGCTTTTCGGACTTTGGAGGGCTTTGGTCTCCGTGTGGGCAATTTGATTGTCATTTTTTGATTGATGTCTTCTTTGGACTATCCGAAGGAATTTTATCTTCGGTTTGGCTTTGCCGGCTTTTGGAGAGCTTTGGTATCCGTGTGGACGATTTGATCGTCCGCTTTGGATTTAATGTCTTCGTTGAACGATCCGAAACTTTGATCTTTGGTTTCGCTTTGCCAGCTTTTGGAAGGCTTTGGTCTCCGTGTGGGCGTTTTGACCGTCGGCTTTGGATTGATGTCTTTTTTGGACGATCCGAAGCTTTGATTTTTTGTTTGATTTTTCCGAATTTTGGAGGGCTTTGGTTTTCGTGTGAGAGATTTTAGTCGAATTTGGATTTGATGTCTTCTTTGGACGATCCAAGGTTTTGATCTTTGAGAAAGTAGATTTGGTGCTTCATAACGTTTTTTTGTGACGTGTCCCTTTAACTTTTGAATCAAAGAGAGCCTCTTGAAGTTTTGGAAGGAACTTTGGAGACTTTTCCTTGACTTTGACGAATTCCTCAACGGCTTTGAGAGCTTTAGTCCTTCCTCCGGTTTCGGCATCCGACGAATAACGTTAACTTCATCGATTCATCAACCAATATTGAATCATTTGTCCAAATCATTGACTTTTCGACGAAAAACGCTTCGAATGACACGAAAAACATGAAGAATAATATAGAGAGACTTACCCTTGCACGAGTTTTCAAATGAATTTCGGTGTGTCAAATGAATTGACCATGACCCCTATTTATAGGGGAAGGGTGACCTCGGTTTCCTTTTGAATAATGTCACGTGACGCGTCATGATAGACCAATAGAAAGATTTTATAATCTTTCATTTCTCGATGTCGTTTTTCATTTTTGAATGATTTGATTGTATTTTTTTTTTCTCGCAAAAATTTTTATATTATTTTTTTTCGAAAGATATTAATTTAAATATTTTTTTATTTACAAAATAAATTTATTTTACTGTCAAATTTATTATATAAACTGATAAAAAAATAAAAAATAAGAAACCAAAATTACTTTTGAAAAACTCCTCGAAAAGGACCTTAATTGCTATATAGGCTTAGGTTAGCTCAGCAAAGAGAACGCCCAACCCATCCACACGCGATCGAAACCCGCAGCCGCAGCTCAGAACGCATGAAAAATATTCTATACAAATAATAATAATAATAATAATAATAATAATAATAATGAATCAAGTGCAGTGTGGAGTGGAGTGAGCAAAAGCTGAATTTCCACGCCCAAATTGAAAGAAAGCCTCGCTCCTCCTCCTCCAAATCGGCTATGGCGTCACCGCCGACGATCCCTATTTCCTCCCCCCAATCGGAGCCCATCGCTACTCCAGCGTTCCGAGCCTTCCTCTCTCGCCTCAACACCACCGTCCGCCACGGATTCGCCCAGCGCCGCCCCTGGTGGGAGCTCCTGGACCGCTCCGCCTTCTCCCGCCCCGATTCGCTCTCCGACGCCGTCTCTCGCATCCGCAGAAACTTCTCCTACTTCCGCGTCAACTACATCTCACTTCTCGCACTCTCGCTTGCCCTCTCGCTCATCTCCCACCCTTTCTCCCTCATTATTCTTCTCTCTCTCCTCGCCGCCTGGCTCTTCCTCTACTCGTTCCGTCCGTCGGATCAGCCGCTTGTGGTCGGGGGGCGTACGTTCTCGGATCGTGAGGTGTTGGGGATTCTCGTTGTATCGACTATTGTTGTGGTTTTCCTCACCAGTGTCGGTTCGCTGCTCATCTCCGCCGTCCTCGTCGGACTTGCCGTGGTGTGCGCACACGGCGCTTTCCGCGTGCCTGAGGATTTGTTTTTGGACGAACAGGAGTCGAATAACGCTGGATTCCTTTCGTTCATAGGCGGCGCCGCCACTTCCGCCGCAGCCGCAGCTGCTCCTGCCGTTGCTTCGCGTGTCTGATTTGGATCTGCTCTCGACTCTAACGGTGCGATTTTCATTTGCATACAGTATTCCAATTTTTTACTTGCTTGACCGAAATATATATAGAGAGGAATTGCTTTGTTTCTATGATTTGGTGATATATTATGTCTTCTCTATTTTGGTTAGGAAGAACTTGATCGATTTGCAGATCTGTTGTAATTCTTGCTTGCTATAAGAGATCCGATTCTATGCTTAATCTCAGATCTAGCGGTTGATTTCCTTACGGAATTCCCTCTCTATGCCAAACTATAGAATTTTGTTCAAAGATATCATCAAACATGTTTATATATATTTTTTGGAATAATTCACACTAGATTCATTCTTTGATCACTGGCTTTGTTTTGCTACATCTGCTTGTTTCTGCGCACTCGCACTTACTAAGGGTGTGTTTGTTTGTGGGTATGGATTTTGAGTTCGGATTTCAATCCAATAAATTTTGAATTTGAATAGTTGTATGATGTGATATAAATATGAATTGACGTGATATTTTAAATATAAAATTAATTTTTAGTATAATATAAAAAATAAAAATAGGTGTTTGATTTAATATTTTTTGGGAAAAAAAATAGGATGAACAGTATATTGAAAATCAATCCCCCAAACAAACACACCCTTAAGTATATTTAAACTCAATAAATTAATAAATTTTTTAATAGAGACTTAATCGACTGATATTTCAAATAGTTATATTTAATTTACAATTGGATTTTTAATTATCGGTGTAAAGTATGCATGCTACTCATTTGAGATCTATCATAAATGATAAGCTTAAGCATCCATCACATTCCTAGTTTGAATAAAATGGTTGACCTCAATCAAACTTCCAAGTTTGGTCTCTCCTTTTTCCTTTCCCCGCAACATTATTATTTAATTACAATTAAATTTAGAAATTTTTAGTTAATACTCTCTTCGTTTCGCTAAGTTTTTTATTATACTTTTGCATTTTGATTAAAATAAATTAATATTTTATAAATATATGATATAATAAAATAGTATTATATTTATTTTGCCCTTTATATTAAAGTACAGGTAATTATAAAAAAAATTAAAAATATGAGTATTTTGGTATTTAAGTGATAGTTATTTTTTTTTTTTTTTTAAAAAAAAAGAATGAGAAGCTTTGATTTGTATATGCTAGAAAATAGGAAATTTGCTCACGGATGAAGTAATTGTTTGTTAGAAGGTTTGTACTTCTAAATAATAAAATTTTAAATTTGAGTAGTTATTTATTATATAAATAAATATTAGTAGTATTATATTTTGAATGAAAATTTAATTTTTATTATAATATAAAACTAATTCCTTTGTTTTGTAAAATTAGTTTACTTGGATACAACATGGATATTTAAAACAATAAATAAATATTTTATTTTAAAAATTGATGAAGATAAAGAACTAGTTAGGGTGTGTTTGTTTGGAGGATTGTATTAGATTTTTATTATTCATTTTTTTTTTCAAAAAATATCAAATTAAATATTTATTTTTTATTTTTTATATTATACTAAAAATTAAATTTACATTCAAAACATCATATCAACACCTATTTATACCACATCATACAACTATTCAAATTCAAAATTTTACTATTCAAATCCCAACTCAAAATTCAAACTCCAAAACAAACACACCCTTAGAGTAATTTTGGAACTTCCGTAAGAAATTAAAATAAATGGAAAAATTTTTAAAAAAATAGTTTTATATGTGATAAATAAGCTTTGAATGAAAAATAATAATTAAATATTATCAATAGACTTTGCTAACGAGATAAATTTAAATAAAAAATAGAAATATAATGCTCCTATGAGTCATGTATTTATTTGGATTTTAAATGTGAATTTTAATATATTAATATTTTATAAATAATAATATAATAAAAAGATGAAAAGGTAATTTTGTCTTTAAATTTATTTATTTTTTAATGATTTTGTTTGTAATATTGTGTAAAAAATAAAGAGTAATTTTCGATTAAATTAAATAATATTTTTACTAAATTGGATAAATAAAAATGACAAAATAGTTGCATGTTAATCCGTTCCAAAAGATTTGTTTTATTTTTTTATTTTCGTCGGTTTCAAAACAATTGTCTTATTTTTTTTATTTAATAGCCGTGGTCCCCACTTTATTTATAATAAAATTATTTCTACTTTTCCATATTACCCTTAATTATTACTCTAACGTACTCTTTAAAATCATTAAAAAATAAGGATATTTTAGTCATTTACATTCTATTTTATACCCATTATACGTAATATTAAAAATATTCTTATATTTTTATACAAATATCTTTTATTAGTATTATAAAACACTAATAAATATTTTTGCACATTTTTTTATATTTTGGTAAAATAATTAATAAGCAAAGATTAACACCCAAAAATAAATGGGACATTTAGACTGTTTTTTCACAAAATAATAAAACAAAATACAATTTAAATACGTCTAAAGAATGGTCTGGTGACGCAGGGGTTGGACCTGTGACCGTGAAGTCATGGGTTCACCTGCTACACATGGTTCGTCCAGTGTGACTTTTTCATCCCAATACGCGCTTTCAGGCAGCGGCTGCGGGTTCACACGCCATCCAAAAAAAATATATATACACAATTTAAATAAAAACTTAAATCAAATATTCAATTTCAAATTAATTTCTAACTGCAACCAATTCGTGACAAATCTAGAAACTCCATTTGGCTATTCTGCAACGCAACGGGGTATCTGTTTTTGCTGATAATATTTTTGCCCAAATCCGAATTCAAGATAATAATAACATTAAAGAGAAGTGAATCATTGGTTATGTCCACTGGGAAAATTACAAGGCAAAAAACAACATGAAGTTCAACCTTGAGAAGAATTAAGTACAAAGGCAAAAGACAAGAAAATAAAAAATCTAGATGAACATTAATATATGTACGTTTAGAATTCATTTATTCACAAATCCACTCACTGGTTTCTTCCACAACTGCCTTCCAAACACTTGCCATCTTCTCTGCATATCCAGCCTGGTGATTATATCATCTATCTTATTAATAATTGATACATCATGTTGAATTGCCATAATCCATTAAAAATACACACACAGATAATGTGAGACTGTACATGGCAACCTTGTCTAATCTCTCTTCCTACATTCCATCTCTGAAAAATGTTATGACTGACTGAATTCTACATTCATCTTCCGTTTGCATCCTATTTGCACTCCAAGACACAACATTCTCTCCACTCAAAACACATTGAAATGATGTTTTCGTAGGGGTGAGCAAAATATCCGATCCGAACTAAACCAAAATTTAAAATTTGGTTCGGACTTTTCAGATTTTCGGATCGGTTCGGATTACAAATTTTAGAAATTTCCAATTTTCGAATCGGATTGGTATACTAAAAATCTGATCCAATCCGAAATCCGAATTATAATTTATTATATTTTATATTATTTATTTAATATTTTATTATAAATATAAAAATAAAATTACTAATTACATATTAATATACTTCATTATTATTTATTAAAATATTATTTCAAAATATTATGTATAAAAATCTGATTTTGTTTTTTTTTAAATATTATTTTTTTAAAAAAAAAAAGAGTTCTTTTTTTTCGAATTTTTCAGTTTGATTCGGATTTTTTCATCCAGATTTTGAAGTTTAAATTTTTTAAGGATTGGTTCGGATTTTCTAATTTGGATTTCGAATTTTCGGATTTCGGTCAATTCAGTTCGGCTCGGATTACCTTTTTCAAAAATTTCGGATTTTCGGATCAGTTCGGATTTGACGAAATCCGAACTGAAAAGCCGAATTCTCACCGCTACTGTAGAGAGTATAGAAGTAAAATTTTAGTTTCATAACTGTGGAGCCTGTATAAAAATCGTCTTGTAAGTAAATTTTTTGTCACAATTGGTTATCTAACACTGGAGATACGCATATGGCACCCGCCTAACATGCTGAAGTACACGTGTCTGTCGGGTAAGCGCCACATGACGTGCACGTGAAAATTTCTTTTTATTTTTTATTTTTTTTAAATAAATTTTTTAAAGGACACATGTGCTCCCAAATGCCTAGCGGATGCCACGCGAGCGAAGGACTAATTGTGCCAAAAGAATTCACTTATAAGTCGATTTTTATCCAGACTCCAGTTACGGAACTAAAATAGTAAAAAAAAATAAGTTAGGGACTAAAAAACAATTTTCTTTTTAAGAAAATTGATTGCGTACGGGTAGTTTTTCACTTGTTCTTCATAGCTTACCAAAAAGTGAAAATGGAAAGCATGCAATTGGAAACTAAATGATCACACTATGCAAAGAATGAAGCTTCAATTGATCCACCAAAACAGAAAGGATATGATAGAAAGACATACCTGATTAACAACAAATCCTTTGAGCATACTCACAAAATCATCATGCTTCTCTTTGTCTATTCTCTCTAGCTCCTTTCTATTGTTATCCTGCAAACAACAGGAAACCGCTCATTTAACATAAACCTGTGAAGAAACAATGTACAATTAATGCAATCTTACAGCAGTTTGTTTGTCTCAATGCATTTGAACTTTAAGATAATAACTAATATGGCTGTATTGGTATACTGATCAATATAGTGCCAAATGTTACAAAGAGTCGAGTTTGGTCAACTCCACCATATGAAGCCAAGAAATGCAGACGAATGTAAATAAATCATAACAATGTAAGAAGTGTCGTATGGGATGTCATCATATTTTAATTATAAAGGCAAGGTTATATGAATCTCTGAGATTTTACATCTTTAGCAAGTCTTAGAAAAGAGGATAACGACCTCGTGTCTGAAAATATATAATGAAGTTAAAGCAGTTGAAAAATCAATAAAAACTTACCAAAGAACTTAGCAAGGAACTAAAAAATGTTGTGAAAAAAGAGAAGTTGTACCATATACTAAGTTGACATATAATAAACAGCATTTGATGAAGCCAATCAATAATGCCATTCGATTCTTCTCAACAGATTCACCATGTTTAATATTTACTGGACAAAGTGATACAGAGAAATCTAGGAATACAACTGTCATCCCGGTACAAAATCATGCAATATAACATCTGGTTCTCCGTTTTCATAGTTATGGAAAAAGAAAATGACCGATACTAGTTACAAGGTTGCATATAGTAGAGTACCGGGGTTGAGGCTCAAATAAACCAAGATCCAATTTCGAGTCATTTCTTGGTGAACAACTCTAATAGCCATTACAGTTCATTTCGGAAAGAGTGAAGAAACTCTACTAAGAATAGTGTGAAAAGCCCTTCTCAAATCTCTCATCTCCTGGTCCTAGCAAGCATCGGAACTAGACAACCATGAACTATACACGAAGCCATAGTTGGAAAGTCTGGACCTAGGGCGACCGGGGGTTAATACCGGTAGAGGCGCTTGAGAAGGTGGACAATCCTTAAAAATCATAGCACTTCAAGATTAAATTCCTATTTCACTGGATAATTTAATTTCTGAATTATGTTTACAATGAATGAGAGAACTTGTTCCCATCCCATCTATCAAATCTATTAGTAAATTCATGATTAAACAAGCGCCCTAGCGACAGGTTATGCTATAATCAAGGCAATAAATTTCCATCAAACTTTATTTCATAAACTGAGGTCATCCTAGAATTCCCCTTGCAACCTCAGATGCTAAACACAGTTTTTGGTATGCCAAGTGTATTAATTTGTTTCCATAATTATATCAAATTAATGATCATTTAAGACTTCAATTTATAAGAGTATGATTTTCCTAATAAAACAATCATAGATCAATTACTTCATTAACTTACTATAATCATTATGCAGTAGATTAATTTGTGCTGACAAGAAACTAGACTTCAACAGTTTCATATAGTTGCAGGTATAGTTCGATCTAGATATAATGGGAAGGTAAAGTTAGGTAGCCTAACGAGTTTGGTGGGCAAAAATGGTATGTAAGAGTCATGACATAATATGATAAATTGTAAGTGATGTACGTACTCACTATATCTTTCTTCCTTTCAATTAATAGTTAGTAATTGTAGAGCCTACCTTGATTCGCTATAACTTTCTCCTCCCTTTCAGTTAATAATTAATAATTGTAGAGTCTACCTTGATTCGCTCATATTCTCGAAGTGCAGAATTTTTAGCATCCTCAGTCGCCCGTACGCTTTCTTGCAGCTCTTCAATTTTCTTAATTCTCCATCCATCACCACCAAATATCTTCGACGAGGCGGCCTCAAGCTTTTCAATCCTAGAATTTAATGACGCTAAGTCTGATAAAAGTGTTTGAACAGTTAGCAAAGCACTTGATCGCTCTGAAAATGCATTGTTGGCAGCTAGCATCACTCCCAGATATTCATGAAGCTTATCCTGCATTAAATAAAGATTCAGATAGAAAGGCATGTTTATAACACAGCCGTTCTTTTCTTTTCTTTTCTTTTCTGGAACCATCATCAAAATAGGGAAAGAAGATTATTGCAACAGAAAGCAGCAACAGAAATTACAAAACTGAAAGCATACAAGGATCCCATACATATCAACAGAGATCATGCCCATATTAACTGAAGTTTTAACGCTCAAAGAGGGATCCAAGGTTTACCAAATGTTTGACAGTTTGTGCATTTAACTCTCGAAATAATCTGCTTGCTTTTACAGCAGCTGTTGCAACATTTTTCATATCCGCAGCACGTGCTCTTTGGGAGTCATAGATTGCTACCTCTGTTTCAAACTTGGTTAATTTAACAAATGCCAGCCCCAGTTGCCCCATTGTCTCCCCAATGTCTTGCTGGGATTTGACAAGTAATTCTGCCTGAAAATAAAGTAGAGATAATATGTTTACAATTTCCCCAGCCAAGGTTTCAAATCTAATTTCTAGAAGAGGTACACATATTTGCCATAAAATATGTTAAAGCAAGAACGAGTTATCCCATGGAATAAATCGATAATAATTCCAATCAGCTCATGCATTCTCCCTGAGTATGACGGAAAATACCCTAAAAACTGTTCAATTTTAACTACCCAAGCCATCACAACAAGAAAACATCATAGGTAGCACTTAGCAGTGCACCAGATTGTGCTTGTTACAGTAAAAACTTATCGTATTTGCATTTGTGACCGCAGTTGTAACATTCCAGCAAATAAAGCTAATATAAGTGCGCCATCCCTTCTACCAAAATTTTCAGAAAGCATACATATGTGAAAATTTGCAATATAAAAGCCTCGAAGAATTTCTAGAGCTACAATTCCAGTGGATCATTCATCATTCATTACAATCGAAACTATGGTAAATCTTGCAAACGAAATTTGACAATAAAGATGAGACAAGAATCACCACCTGCTGTGACACATTGCTGAGCTGCTGCTCAAACTCCTGCAATTTTTCTTTCCTAGCCACAAACTCCCTATCCTCCTCAACAAGTGGTGGCTTTGTACCTCCCCAGTCATTTGTCACCGACTGCTTCAACTCCCTAAAAATCCTGAAGAAATCTCTCCCAGTTTTGGCGGCCTGCGTCCCATCACTCATACCCGCTGCTGCTGCTCCACCATCAACACTCCCCAGGGATGGGGACGAGCCAACCTGCTGATCTACCATCCTTGGAGCAACATCCGTTGTTCCAGAATCCTCCAAGAACACCCGTAGTTCCGAACTCCTCCTTATCACTGGATGGGCAGCCAATCGTCGCAAATATTTCTCCAATGCAGAACGCCTTTGCTCCACAAATTCGATTTGCTGCATCACCTGACTCTCGACAACACTCTTATCTGGCCTCATTGGTATGAAGAAACCGCGGTAGCTCTCAGCTAATCTCTCGGACAAAGCTACCACATCTTTAAACCTTCTCCTAACATTGAATTCTGTTCCACTGAACTCAGGAAAATTCGTAAAAGTTGTAATCAGGTAAGAGAAGTAATAGCCTCCACCTGGCACAAGGGAACCTGCTACATCCTGCTCCTTCCTCGGATCCGAAACGGAAATCCGGAGATAATCGGATGAAAACGATTGCGAAGCCGATGGGGAGTGATCGAGGCTGCGGACATTGCCGGAATCCAAGTCGAAGGATTGGAAAACTGCCTCCGCATAAGAGGGGGGCTCGAGGAATGAATTGAGGGAGGTGTGGGTAGGGTCTACAGTTTGCTTCGGCGGAGGAGAGTGCAGTGGGTGGTTATCATTCGCGTGGATCTCCGCGAACGGTGGAGATGAGTAGAGAGGATCTTCCAAAGACTTTGAACCGTTGGACGGTGGCGAAGGATGATGGTCTGACAGAACTAGGGAAGCCATCTGCTCCTTCGATGCGTAGAGATGGGCTTCTTCCAAGCCCTGCTCATAACCCATCATTCTTATTCTTCTTCCTTCACGTCCACTAACAGGTACCTCCTCCTAATCTCCAATTTGGAGAGATTTCTAGGATTTCAGAAATAGGACAAACTTTCGAAATTAAATTCTCCAAAATTCAATTGAATTTGGAGGAGGAAGAAACAGTAGGGATGGAATCGGAAGGTGGAAACAACACGGTGGTGGTCGGAGGGCGGGGCGGCGGTGCCGAAGAAGAAGAAGAAGGTTTCGGGGATTAGACGGCAAGACTTGTGCAGCTGAGAAAAGATCCTGGTATATTGTAGCCACGTGACAAACACGTGCAGGAAAAGTAGTACACTCCAACTTGCCCAGGTTACAGGCCCGTCCCTGACCGGGCTTATGTACAGGTATGTTAGCCCAGTTTGAATTGGGCTATAAGGTTGGTTCAATTGATTTAAAAAAATTAAGTAGAATTCAAAAACAAAAATTAGAAATATAAGTAAAAAAATTAATTTATTTGATTTATATTTGAATGGATTTTCTAAAATAATATTTCTTTATAAATATATATATATATATATTTCAGTGTAATAAAATTTAAAGTACTCATGAATTATTAAATTTATCAAAAAAATATAAATACAATTTTTTACTTAGTGCAAAAAAATACACGTTTTAGAAACATATCATATATTTTTGGACTTTTTCACTATTATTATCAACTAGTATCAACTATCCAAAAGTAACCTCTAATCGAACCTAATACCCTGCAAATTAAGCCCGAAAAGACAAATTACATCAAGCGAACTATGTGCGACATGAGACCTGGAGGCGTCGGGGTTTAAATCCATGGCTTCAGGCCACAATTCACTCCATACACCAACTAGGTCATCCTTGCGAGATTTGAATATTATTATTTTGGTTGTGATCCAACATGGATGGATCTTTTGGATTGCTTAGTCAAATCAGATTCTTATAAGACTCCTTAGCCGAAGGCTTCCAACGGTACGTTTGGCAATTAGCTATTAGCTAGTTTGACTAGTTGATTTAATTAGCTGTTTGTATAAATGTTTAGTAAAACAATATTTTGACATTAGTTGTTTATACGTAGAATAATAATTAAAGACATTGATATGTTATTTTTTAAAATATTTAATTTTGTTCATTTTAGTTTGAATTTATAAAAAATTTTGTTATTAATTATTAAAAATTATAAAATATTATTATTAAAAAATAATAATTTTTGTATTGAAATTGTGTAAAATATAAAATAATAAATATTTCATATATATATTATTATGTCAATTATTGTTTAATATAAAAATAATATAATAAAAAATATATAAATAAATTAATAATATTTGTCTTTTTTATTTGCTTTAATTTTAATAAATTTATATATTTTACAAATAAAATGATTCAGAAATAATAATTAATTATTATTATTATTTTAAATTTTTAAAAATAAAATTATAATTTAATAAATTAAGTATATTAAAAATAATTAATAAATATTGCAATAAAAAATATATTTATATGTATAAAATAAATAAATAATTTTAAAAAATAAATAAGGAATAACAAAAATTGAAGTGAAAAAATTCTTTCAAAAAATTAATTTAAAAAATACATAAATCAACTTTTTGATTAGTCAAATAACTAAAGGCTTATGAATAAGCTAAACCTCTTACACCCCAAATCTATTGGACGGTCTTAGGCGGATGATATCAAATTTTATATTAATATGCCCATGTCCTAGGTTGTATTTGGTACAGAGAAACGAGGGTAGAGAAATAGAAATAGTATCATTTTTTTTGTTTGTTTCAGTCAAATAAATAAAACTTGAGAAATAAATCATTTTCATTTCTCTTCGTATAACGGAGAGAAATGATGTTGCAGTATATTGGTTTTTTAATTTTTAAAATTTTTTTGTACTATTTAATTTTTATAATTATTTTAAAATTATATTATTTTAATTTTACAAAAAACAAACTTAATTTATTTTTAAAGTATTTAATTTTTACGATATTTTAAAAAATTTTACTAAAATATAATTTTAAAAAACATTGTATATAATTTATATTTTTTTAAAAAAAAATTACAAAAAATATTTTTCATGAATTCTCATTCGTTAAAACTCTCTTTTTATCGGGTTAATTATTTATTTTTGTTTGATCATTCATATGTCTGCATTTTTTTAAAATTTTTCAAATAAATTGTTTGTTTTTTAAACAAGAGAATTAATTCTCATTCTCTACTTAATTTTATTTTTCTTTAATTCTATTATCTATTCTCATTTCTCTACAATTCCATTCTCAATACCAAAGCGCCCCTAAATGTATAACCATGTAAAAAACCTTGTGGATAAACAAATCAAATTTTCGTGCATTTGGAAAAATCTCACAACAGTTGTGGTTCTATTGTGCTTCCGTGGGGCCCACGCGTGATGTAAACAGGCCCATTGTAAAATGTCGGCCCTACTCATTGTGGTGGGTGGTCTATCCGGTCTTGGGGTCCACATCGCCGAGTTTGTTTTCATAAAAATTTTTGGTGAGTTTTGAAATATTGAAAATTAAAAATAAAAATAAAAATAAAAAATTAATATTTGATTTGGTATTTTATGAGAAAAAAAATATATTGGATGTAATTTTTTTTAAGAATAAATAATTTCAAATAAGTGAAAATGTATCGGGTAAAAAAAAAAAACTAAAACCGTTGAACATGCTGTAAATACAATTTCCATAAAAATCAAAATTACAAGGTACAACACATCAATGCATTGTAACTTGTACCATTGATATATCCCACTTCAAGTCAAAATGCATATACCTGTTTTCCAATCCACGTCAGAAACACGTCAAGAGCAATATCGAAATTCAGCAGCCACTCAAATAATCCATGGCTGCCGATGTGTATTGGTATCGCGATTGCTTTTGGATCTATCTAGCTCACTGCTACAAGAGGACAAAATGTCGCAGCAGCAGTTGGAATTCTGCTCGCGGCGGTAAGAAGTTGCAATGGAGCCGTGCAGTTTGGCTGTTCAGTCTGCGGGGGTGTGTTCGATCCCCCGTAGTTATGGACATGGCGGCACTGGCAGCCATTGCCGCAGTCGTTTTGCGGTTGCTTGCCGCCGGGAGGATTCCGGGGAGTATCGTCAATTGAAGCGGAGGTACGTCCTTATTACACCCTTTCTGGCAGGAGGAGTTTACGCGCTTCGCTCAGCGCTGGCGAAGGCGGAGGAGATGCCGGCCGGAGTTGGGGAAGGGGAAGTTCGGAGTCCGCAGGTGAACTCTCCGGATGAGGCGGTTTTGGAGGCGGAGGATGAGATGATTAATTCGAGAATTTATGACGCGACGGCGATTGGGGAACCGATGGCTTTAGGGAAGGAGAATAGGAAGAAGGTGTGGGAGAAGATGATGGATGCGCGGGTTGTGTATTTGGGGGAGGCGGAGCTAGTTCCGGTACAGGATGACAGAGAATTAGAGCTTGAGATTGTGAAGAATTTGAGGAAGAGATGTGTGGAAGTTGAGCGGCCTCTTTCCTTGGCACTGGAAGCTTTTCCTTGTAATCTACAAGAACAGCTCAATCAGTATATGGATAACAGGTAGTATGCTTTCTCAATCTGTAATCTAATTTCTATTAGTTTCATGTCATGTTTAATACCTATCGATTCCCTTGAAGATTGGTAGCTTTTGTGCTTGAAGTCTAGCGGGATAAAACTGCTGTAAATGTGATATATATATATATATATCAGTAACTACAGAAAGTACATAGCCCCGTCTGTAGAATTTTTCGAATTTTTCATGTTACTCAATTGCAGTATCTACTGCTTGCTTAATATCAGATGTTATGTCCAAGGCTTTGGGTTTAAGGTTGAAATCTTATTTGAACTGGATTATATGTTGTCTTAATATTTGAAGACTTGGAATGCTACTACCAGCTGCTGTAGTTTTTCGAATGCTTGGATTTGATTTCATTGGGGAAAGTACACATGTTTTAGTTGGAATGCATTGCCCTATTGTGTACTGTTTCTGAGATAATTTTCATTGTTACACCCCCGCACCCCTCCCTGTGGCATTTTGGATGTCTTATATTGAAGTTGGCAGGATTGATGGATCAACCCTAAAATCATATGTTACACATTGGTCACCTCAACGTTGGCAAGAGTATGAACCTCTGTTGACGTATTGCCATGATAATGGTGTTCGATTGATTGCATGTGGTGTGCCACTTGAGGTATTGTCGCTTTTTCTATGTTATAATAGTAATCAGAGAATAAATTTTTCTTACTTTAGGAAGAATTTTAAAAGGAGGATGGTAAATTCTACTCCCATGTGTTAGCCTTAAACATACAAATAAACTAAAATTCTATAAAAGAAAGGATTTTTATTATTTTATCTAGAGAAAACTTCTGATGCAAATGGGAGCTTATGAGCATTCTTCCTTGGACATGATATAAAATTGTATTCGTTGCATGTACCAATATCCATTTCTCAAGCTATAGTTCTTTATCGCATGTATAATGGCATTTATGCCCTAAGTTACTAGTGTAAAGCTATTTTACAGAATAATCTCGGCTTTATTCCACATGCTGAAAAAACAAATCATATCTCTTCCTTTAGAGTAACACTGGCTTCTTTTTTCTCCTTGGATCAAATATGTTCTTGTAACTGATGTTATCCTGATTTTATTGTTTACAGATTCTACGAACAGTTCAAGCACTAGGTGTTCGTGGCCTTTCTAAAGTTGATCGTATAAAATATGCTCCTCCTGCCGGATCGGGCTTCATCTCAGAATTCTCTTCTATCACTAGGAGACCCGCTGAAGCATTGAATTTTCCTAATCAATCCACTCCTTACGGCCCAAGATCATATCTTTCCATACAAGCAAGAGCTGTTGAGGACTACACAATGTCTGAGATCATCTTACAAAGTATAACAGATGTTGGACCCACAGGCATGCTAGTAGTTGTGGCAGGTGCTGGCCATGTTGCATATGGGCCAAGAGGATCTGGGATACCGGCAAGGATTGCGAGGAAAATAAAGAAGAGAAATCAGTTGGTCATATTACTTGATCCTGAAAGACAACACATTCGAAGGGAAGGTGAAGTGCCTGTAGCAGATTTCCTGTGGTATTCAGCAGCCAGACCTTGCAGTAGAAATTGCTTTGACCGTGCTGAAATTTCTAGAGTTATGAATGCAGCAGGAAGGAGGAGAGATGCCTTACCACAGGTTTGTTTCTAAAACAGTTATTTATGTCAAAACTCAGTAATTTTTTTCTAATAAAATAAGGACACAGACACAACATTGGGCATATTTTTAAATATATGAAAAACTATATGTAAATCCGGTAATCTATTTTGCATGCAGGATCCACTTTTTTCACATTCTCTGAATTTGTGGGCGTAAGCGTTAATTGTGATCATTGAAAAGAATATGGGTTCCTGAATTGTTACTTTCAATTGTTTGTCTAATATGCCATCGTAAGAAATTAAATCGATGAGAATGAAATGTGAGAGTACGTGAGAGATTAACCATTTTTCGTATTTGATCCAATTTATATACTTGCATCAGTTTCTGGGGAGAATAAAGCTTTTTTCTAACTTCCTGACACTGTTAATTATTAAAACAAAGTAAAAAAGGTAAGTCATATACTGCACTGTTATGTTTAAATCCTACTAGTTGTGTTAGTAGGTCTTCCTTCATAGCCATCATCAATATCTAAAATTGTATCCCATGTGTGTGTGGTCAACCATATAGAGTTCGCCATTATGTTCAATCAAGACGCTTGTGTAAGAATACTATTGAGGCAAACTTTTCTCCCTTGTCAGGATATTCAGAAAGGTTTAGATCTTGGGGTGGTATCACCGGAAGTGCTTCAGAACTTTTTTGACCTGGAGCAATACCCTCTTATTGCTGAATTGACAAATCGTTTTCAGGTTAGAAAACTTTAGCTGATCTGTGGCTAGTAACTCAGATCAGATTTTCTGCATTGGTGAGTCTAAAGTGTTGCAAGTAAGAATTATACTTGGTTGTTTCATCTTAATGAACAGGGTTTCAGAGAGAGGCTACTGGCAGATCCAAAGTTTCTATACAGATTAGCCATAGAAGAAACTGTATCAATCACGACAACGCTCCTAGCACAATATGAGAGGCGCAAAGAGAATTTTTTTGAGGAAATTGATTATGTGTTAACAGATACGATAAGGGCAGCAGTTGTTGATTTTTTCACTGTGTGGCTTCCAGCTCCGACAATGTCATTCCTCACGAGTGTTGATGGGATCAGTCAGCCTGGCAGCATGGAAGGATTGAAAGGTCTTCTGGTGTCTATCCCACATAATGCATTTCAAAAAAATCTTGCTGGGAATTACTGGACCCTAAATCAAAGAATTGCCGCAGTAGTTATTGGTGGTTTTAAACTGGCTGGTGTTGGAATTATTTCAAGCATTGGCACAGTAGCTTCCTCCAATGGGATATTTGCTGTACGAAAGATGCTTAATCCAAACATTGCTAATAAGCAACAGAATAAGCGGTCACCTTTGCTGAAATCGGCACTTGTGTATGCGGCCTACCTTGCAACATCATCTAATCTTCGTTACCAGGTTAATAAGCTTTCTCTACAATAACTCTGCTTGTACTATATATATATATATATATATATTAGGTTGAAATTTTTTATTAATAAAATGAATAAAATTTTCTTGCCTTTATGTCAATTACAAGTTGCAACATCCAATGCTCTTTCATAACCTTCATTGTGAAAGATCTGAGGAAAAGCAAATGGTTCTAGACGATGGGGATTGTCTTCATCCAGTTTGCAGTTTATGTTATCTGAGTATATGATCAACTTCTCTGTTCTTACAGGTTATTTCAGGAATAGTGGAGCATAGAATTTCAGAGCCATTTGCTGACCAAACATTAATTGTAAACTTGATATCGTTTGTGGCCCGGACAATCAACTGTTACTGGGGAGCCCAGGTTAGTATTATTGAGAAATCACTTCTTCTCAGCATTTGAACAGACAAAATTCTCAACTAATTTGGTTGAATGTTTGTAAGCCAATTAATCGTACCAAGTTACAATAATCATAAATTAATATCTTTGCCAGTTTAGTACCATGCAAATTTTGATTCCCATGTAGCTGTTGCTTCGCTTCCTTAGCTCCAATAATATCCCTGATGCTAAATCCCTCATTTTCTGCAGCAATGGGTTGATCTGGCACGATACACTGGATTGCAAGCTCGCAGGATGGAAAATGTCCAAATACAGGCTATGGATTCATCTGGTTCTGCTGCAATAGAATGCAAAGTTTTGGAAGATACCAAAATGGAAGAAACCAGCAACCATTAGGTCAGACTTTCAGACATGCCTGCACAATTGTTTTATTCCTTCTCAAAATTTTTGCAAAGCAACATGTTACATAGGATTTGTAAACAGAAAAAACCAGAGAATGTGATCGCCATATTCAAAATGGCGACACATAATGTACCCGGAAAGTTTCTTCGCCTTTTCACTTATTAATCTGTCTACATAAATTCTTGGTCCATATTTTAATTATTCATGCAATACAATCTAAGAAATTTATCGCAGACTATTTGTCACTTGTACATTGATTTGGATTGTCTTCTGTCTCCTCGTTCATCTTCTTAACCAGCTGTTGCTTTACTGTGCCAAATGCATGCTCCACGATTCTCAGCTAGTTTTCATTCACATATTACATCTGTCAATAACATAGAATGAAATATGATATGTGTAGAATAGAAGCATGTAGCCCCTTAGTACCTGTTCTTGGGCGAACCTGTTGTGGATGAACAAGCCACTGAATAGATCAAAGCTATCCCTAGATGTGCTCTCTTTCTGCATTTGATCCCATGCTAATTTATTAGTATTTTAAGGTAGGGGCGTCAATTTGTGTTTTCGGGTCGTGTTTGTGTCGGATTGAGTCATGGGAGTAACAAAAAAACGGTCAACCCGAACTTGACCTGAACCTGAAATTTGACCTGAAACCCTAGACTCGAACACGACACGAATTCTTACGGGTTGGGTTCAGGTTGACCTGAATTAGTTTCAGGTCCTGAAATTCGAACAAATCCGACACAAAACAGACCCAAAAACTTTTAAAAAAAAAATTAAATCAACCTAAAAAAATTCATTTTTATTTTTATTTTTTATATTATTTTAAATATAAAATAATATAAATGTTATAAATTAAAATAATAATAATAAATAATTTCAGGTCAATCCGAAACCCGAAACCTGACCTGATTTTTATATTTCGGATTTCAGGTCAACCCGAAACACGATCCGAACACATACACGAATTTTTTTCGTTTCGGATTCGGGTCGACCTGATTGTTTACAAACCCGAAAAAACACAAATCCGAACCTGAAAAATTTCAGGTCGAACGGGTTTAATTTTTTGGATCGGGTTTGATTTTGACACCTCTATTTTAAAGTTGCTAGAATTTCATTAACCATAGTTTATCAGAAGTAGAATTCGCTCACAGTCAAAGAACTTACCACTTGTACAAGTTTCTGAAATCCCTTTGTATCTAGGGGTGTCGGTTCTATTCCCATTTCTGCTAAGATCCTGTTCTTCAACAATGTGGTGTATATCATTTTTTCTGCTCAGATTTTCTCAAACATAATAGAGCTTGTTGATAAAGCTAAGGCTTAAAGACTGTTTAAACAAAGAGATTTTGGGAGATTTTGAGTTTTGACTAATCTGGAATAATAAGTAGTATTAATAAGTAGCATTAGATGTTATATTTTATTAGAGAAAAAGTATATTTGATTTTATATTTTTTTTAAAAATAATATTATGTCCGAAAATATTATTTTTTTTTAACTTTAGTTTGTCTAAAGTATCAATTCTTTATTATGATAATATAATCGCACACTAATACTAAAATAATTTTAATTTATAGATATATTATAAATATATCATTACATAATTTAAATATACACCAAAATCATCTTATACACTTTAAATATACTTTCTCCTTATATGAATTTTAATGAATATAATATCAGTATTAGTTAATTATAATATATAGTTAATTATAATATAAAGTAAGACTATTTTGAAAATTATATGGGCAAATTAATGAAGTGAAATTTTTTTTTAGATTGTAAATAATAGTGGTATATTTGTAAATAAGTGTAAAATTGAAATATATAAATTAAGAAGTGTGCAAAAGTTATATCTTATTAACTAAAAAATATATATTCTTTTGTAAAAAAAAAAATAAACAAACAAACATTGATTTGATGAACCGAAAGATTATTATTTTTTAATTTACTATAAAAAAAAAATTAAAATGGTATATTAGAGTGAGATGAAAGAAGTATTAAATATCTAATAATTACATTTTGATTATTGTGCCAATTTGACTCAATCAACATATTTTTATAAATAAAATAACATATATCCGACAACACATCTTAATATAATATATAATACATATTTTAATAGCACATTATATAATTATATATAACACAATATTTTATAATTTCAATATAATCAACAGATTATACTAACATAATGCAATATATAACTCACACCATAAATGTTATACAATATATAGCACAACACATACTTCTATACATAACACTGTTATCTATCTGTTGTTTTAATGAATTGCTAATTCCTTCAATTTAGTGTGATAACTTGATCAAATCAAAATGTCACCTTAATTCTTATATCAATTTTCGAAATTTAAAATCCTGTATAGATAAGAGAGTTTTGAAATTTGAGATCAGCAGAAGTTAGTGTATGATTCAATTTTTCTATAAAAAAAATATATATTTGATAAAATATTTTTAAAAAATAAATAATGCCAAAATTTTTAGAGATCCAATCCTTAACCAAATTATAACACACGCATTTGTTTTCTTATGCTATCACAAGTCGGATGCAGTTTTGCGGTGCCTCACCTACACCGGACACCATCTCATCCCGTCTCTAACGGTCATATTTACCTTTTGCGTCATTCTATTTAATATTAAAAATATTATTATATTTGTACAAATTTTTTTACAAATATCTTTATAATAGTATTACAACACACTAATTTAAATACTTTTGCAATTTTTTTTTTAATTTATACTATATTTAAAAATTAATAGTAAAGAGTAAACAAAGTGTCTCTTTAAAGGAATATACCTGCCAATGGCATGGGTGACGAACTGAGTCCTAGCAGCTAAATAATCATGCTCTCTGCAAGTCATCTCCAACATTTTGCAACCCTCAGATGCAAAAATGTGCAGGAAAGAAGAGCAAGTAGCTTCATCTGTGACCCTAACTTTTTCATACATCAAACTCAGATCTTTCCACCCATCTTTCCCACTCTCTGGCCCAAACATTGGGTGTGTGCACACCACATCTGACTCACCAGGCACCACCTGTGTATGTGTATGTGTGTGTCACATGGCATCAAATTCAATTGATATATATATATATATATACATACTTTGAGCATCACATCTCTGGGATGCTCTTTCACAGAGAGCACATCAACGAACAGTGTTGGAAGTTCCAAGCAATTCAATGGCAGTGAATTCATCACTTGTGAGAAGGACAGGATCGATGTGCACACCACTATTACATCGTTCTTGGATTCAAGAAAACCAGTCATGTCTCTGCCCATTCATTCATTCGCTCCTGTTTAGATTTCCGGTATGCAGCAATTATTTATCAGGGATTGATCGAACCGTCGATAGATGTTTACCTATAAAATGAGATCCCCAATTGCGTGCAGATATCACTGTAATCAGATCGTGAGGTTGCCCTAATTTCGTGCCCTTGTTTGATCATGGTTTTCACCAGGAATTGGGCGAAGGGCCCAAACCCTATTATGCCTATTTTTAGCAGTGAAGAAGAAGAAGACGATGAAGAAGCAGCCATGGATGGAGTTGCTGAATCTTGTAATTGATTTCTTGATATGTTGGAAATGGGAAGGGGCAAGTCAAGGCCCGCACGGCATATGATCAGGTTTACATAAGATATATTTTAATCTTTTTTTTTTTTTTAAAAAGGAAAGTTGTAGAAACGTCGGTGAACACGTCACAATCTATACATCTATGGCAATTCAACCTTCCTCGTTTGCTTTCAATTTCATGGCGAAAGTAAGACATGGAAGACACAGACAAACAGAGCCATGTTAGTTCATGTCGACAAACTGTTCGATCAAATGCATGAAAGAAGGCAGCAATATAATCCATGTCTAATCCTCCTCAAAATCAAGATCAAGATCAATCACCACAGGTCTCATCATCCTATCCCTCACTTTGTCCTCCAACAGTCTCTGCTGCTGCACCACCAGGACCGACGCAGTAATCGCCATGTCCGGCGACGACAGTATGTCTCCGACGATACCTAATTCCGGACACTCGCTCCACGGCATCAACCTGGTTAGTATCTCAGAAGCTGGGTGATTCTTCCCTACTATCACCAAATCAAACATGTTGTTCAAAGTTCTCAGGGATGCTGCCAGGCCTACCCCATCCTTCACCACCTGCTCTTGGTATGTTATGTTCGAGTTTTCCTTGTTGGCCTCGCACACTTGATCGATTGTCGTGTTGTCTTGCTTCCTTTCTCTTGCAGAGTCGTGGCCGTAGAGGAGGAACCGGAAGATGGTTAGCATGACATTCTTGCGCCCCGCCATTCGAGCTGCATACCAGAGCGACTCCGCATCATCAGGACCGCTGATGAAGATGACAGCCACGCGGTAAGTGGACTGGTTGCTGAAAATGGAGAGCCATCCGTTGAGGATCCCTCGGTCGACAAGAATTCCAACCGAGCACGGGGCCTTGTCCAAGACTTTGACATTCATGTTTTGTGCAGCCTTGTTCGTTCCCCCGACGCTGCCGTCGATTTCCCAGCGCTTGTGGAATGGCAGGATGATGATCGTCGCGTTCTGGTCCAACGCCAGCCGACAGACGTCCTCGTGGACGCTCTCCAGGTGCGCCATGGCGCTGAACGACTGGATAGTGGTGCACGCTTCCTGCCGGAGGACGTACTGGTGCAGCGCGTTGATTAAATGACCGGATTTGGATTTTCCCGGCTGCACTTCCCGCGTCGATTGATGAGCAACGAGCATCCTCGTCGCTCGGTCTCCTAGCTCCTCCAGCACGAGTGCTACGACAGCGATTGGCGAGACTTCTGTGGCGTTGGAAGCCTCGAGTAGATCAATTATTGATGTCACATTGTCTTGGCTTTCGATGCAGACCAATATACGGAGCTCAGAATCGTCCTTGGAATTCTGGATCATCCTTCGATTGATAGGTACGCATCTATCGTTGGAAGGATCATATAGGCATCGGATCAAAGGGGTTATAACTGCTGTGACGGCTACAACTGATATAACACAAAGCGCGAACCCCTTATCGGTAATCTTCTGTCTTGAAATGTGCATTGAAGCAAGTTAGTATAAGTGCAATCCGTTTTCGATAAAGAGATTCGAACTATTTTACCTCTTCATCGCGGCACAGGTTGTAGATGAGAAGCTCGAACACCCCTTTCGCGTTGAGAATGAGCCCGATGACAAGGGAGTCGTGGAAGCTTATGTTAACGAAGCGACCTGCAAGAACTACGGCAACAACCCTGATTAAGGAAGACGTGAAGACGAGACTCGCCACGACAAATAGAGACCAGAAATCGATCTTGAGTATGTTGGTTTTCAAGCCGCTGGTGGTGAGGTATATCGGATACAGAAACTTCCCGATCGGTATGTCGAGTTTTGAGATGATCGGCGCGCCCAAAGGCTGGCCATCCGGCACGAGGAAGCCGAGGAGTAACGGGCCGAGCGTGAAGTGCTGTCCGAGAAGCTCCGTAATGAATCCCATGGTAAGAATACTAGCGAAACAGAGGAACGTATACTGCTCGGCTAACGGTTTCCCTGTCTGTAGTCTTGTCACTGACTTGCGGATGAACGGGCGGACGACGCACACCAAACCCACGACGAACACCACCACGGACACGATCGCCATTCCCGCTTTCTGCGGATCGGCGGCTGATTGGAGGACAGTGTAGACGATAATGAGCAGACTGATGCTGAGGATCTCGTTAAAGAGCGCTATCGATGTCGCGATGCGGCCTAAATTGCTGCTGACGATGTTGAGCTCGATGAGCAGGCACGAAATATTTGAGAACGCCGACAGGCATTGAGGCGCCGCGATGAATGGAAGCGCTGCGGCGAGGGAATCGTCCATGCTAACGTATTTGACGAAGGCGTTTGCGACTAGAAGTGAGAATATTGCCGTAATGAATGTCGAGGAGATTCCTATGACGACGGCTTGTCTCCCCGGCCGCAACATCAGTTTGGTGTCGGCTCTCACGCCTATGGCGAAGAGGAAGAACATAATCCCCAACGATCCTAGAGTCTGCAGCAACATCTTGCTTCTTGCCGGGAATAGGCTCGAGCCCATGATCGCGGGACTCCCTAACAGAGAAGGTCCCAGAAGTATTCCTCCCTATCATATTATTACAGGTCAAAATATTACATCAAATACTAAGGGCATGTCCAATCCAGCATCATTAATGGCGCTGATGGGTTGAAGATGTGTGTTTGGTACAAAGCATAAAATCGGAGAGAAATAAGAGTAGAGAATAAAACTGCAGATAAAATAAATTGAGTAAAGAATAAGAATTAATTATTTTTGTCACAGAGAATTCTCATGAGAAATATTATAAAAATGCAGCTTTATGAATAAATCAAACTAGAATAAATAATTAATATAAAAGAGAGTTTTAAGAAGTAAGAATTCATTAAAAAATATTTTTGACGAATTTTTTGTAAAAAATTATAAATTACATACGAGTTTTGTAAAATTATATGCTAATACATTTGTTTTAAAAATAGTAAAAATTAAATTCTTAAATAATAAATTTAATGTGATTTTTTAAAATTGATACAATATAATTTTTAAAAATTATAAAAATTAAATAGTACAAAATAATAATAATAATAATAATAATAATAATAATGCAAATATTCATTTGTCTCTATTTCTCCTGATGTGAGAGAGAAATAAAATCAGAGAAATAAAAATAATTTATTTCTCAACTATCATTTCCCTAACTCAAACAAACAAAAAAAAATAAAAAATGTAAATATTTTTATTTCTCTCGTGTCATTTCTTATACCGAACATCCCATCATTGTTTACTATTTTCAAAATTTTCTGGCTTACAACGATTTGTGCAACGAGGACGGACTGTCCGAGCGGCTGGAGGAATGCGTCGATCAAGGAAGAAACTAATGAGATGGCTGAAAGCTGGAGATAAATGAGCGGAACTGTATAATTGAAGGGGTTCTCGTGCATCCACATTCCGAAGGTTGCCGCGTTGTCTCTGTATTGGCACGTGATGTATCTATTCCCGTTCGATACTTCGTCCAACACGGACGACAACGACGACGGGAACGAAGACGTAGCCATAGTCTTATTTAATTAGATTTGGCTAAACGATGATATGGTATGATACGATACAATACGATACGAAATAACAGCACAAAGACAAAGATATATTCATTTTCTTGCAAACCCAGAGAGATATTTTTTTTTTTTTTTTGTGTCTGTGTATAAGTCATCTATCAATTTTGCTGCAGGGCACAGCAATTATTTGGGAGGCTTTCCTTAGTTGTGGTGGCGCCACCAAACAATTCACGAAGATATATAGCTAAATTTAGAAACTTTCTTTTCTTGTCCTAAATTTAGTTAGTTGGCTGGCAAGACAATACACATTACAATTTTACAATGAAGTATATAGTCACAAGAAAAGAATATATTGATCGAATATGCACAAATCTATAATTGTTGGGCCTGAAAATGTGACAAAAGTTCAGCCTGGCAAGAAGCAGCATGAGCTGGGAAAGGAGCTTGGTAGCTGCAAAAAAGTCTTGTGATAAGAAGATAGCTGCAGAAAATTGCAAATGAAGAGAGGGAGCTCGGGGGTTACTCAAGGAAGATTAACGAGGGATAATTTAAGGTAAAAGTTACTTCCATTCAATAATAAGGAATTAAGAAATTCAATGCCTAAGGAGAGTTTTAGCGGTTTTAGGAGTTATAAGGAGAGTTTTAAGCCTTTTTTCTTGTAATTTTACTCGGTGGATTTTCAGTCGATCCTAAATTTCGCAGACACGACCTAAGAGTTTTCTGGAGTGCTTTAGGGAACTCTCTACAGAACTCAGACCAGCTTCATCAAGCCATCGAGAGACTCGTAAATTAGAATTTCTGTATACAACAATAATCTTTTTTTCCAAATTATTATGCTCAACGGGGATTGAACGTCAATTCTTTAGGATGTGAATGGGTAGCTCAACTATTTAAGCTACAATCCTTTTAAAGTAGGGAGAAAATATAATTTTGTAAGGCATAAATAGATTGAGTCGTGTAAGGTTACTTTTCTTATACGATATTATGATCTTATTAACGCATTGAGTTCATGAAATTTGTACCGTAAAACAACACTTGATATTTATGAGAAAATTTGAACACGTAAAATGTTAGATTTTCTCTTACTACGAGTATTAATACTTGTTTATAGACTTAGAAGTGTGTTTTTTTAAAAAATGTGAATTGAAATTTGAATAAAAAAATATTTTATTTTTTAATTCAAAGATGTACCTCAAATTTTCAACTGAATAAAAAATATGCTATCCCTTCATTCAAGATATCAATTCAAATTTAAATAAATTTGAATTTAGAGGATTTTATCCCTAATTTATTTAATATATTTCAGGATTTGAAAAATATACTCACCAAATTAAATTTAAGAGTTACTAATGTATTTTAGAAATATTAAATTTTTAATATTGTTACATTATAGTAAAAAACCATTTCCTTATTATCATGACTAAAGAAATATAATATTGCTAACAATTCTCGGGAAGTTCGTTCATGAGTTTTGATGGCCAAGAGCAAAAGTAAAAAATGAGCCCCTATTAATTTTTTTATATTATTTATATAAAATTAATTTTTTTAATAATTTATTTTATTATTATTATTATTTTTAGTTTATTTGATTCTATTATCCATAAAAATATACTCCCTCCCTATGTCCTTTTTGTAAAGGGCTTTGGTGTTTATAATATTATGTTATTTAGTAAAAATGTGTAAGAAATTTGATATTTTTTTTCCTTTGAATTTTTGTATAAAATAATTTGTGTAATTGTATATTTGTAATTTAGATAAAAATTAAAAGTATTTTGGTAAAAATATGACGGAAGGAGTACTATTTTCTTTCATAAAATATCTTATTAAAATATGTTTAAATAAAAAAATAAATTCCAATCCATTCAAACAAATTTACACATATTTTAATAATGTACACAGAAGCTTCGTTTGCTCAATAATTTACACTTGACTTTATAAACCATGTATTCCAATCCATTCACGAACATATCGAAATACAAGTGCAAATTGTCTTTTGAAGTGGAAAAACATTATTTTCATACAAGTAATTCCTTTAGCGTCGCTCATGCATCACGATCTTTCAAATGAGTTATGAAGAGATCATATATCAAGTCTCAACCTAATTTTCTTGCAAGTTTGAATGCATACCTTAGTATGTAAATGCATGCATTTTAATCTACTACACGTAAGATTTTCACATTAAATTCAGCTCATAGTGTTGTAATAGGAGAGAATTTGATATCTTACATATGAAGTGGATTTAGATGGACTTTAATCATATCCCAATTGATGAGTCACCATCCATCTCTGGGCTACAATAATTCCATTATTTTTATTAAGTTCTTGTATCATACTATATATCAAAGTCATATGTCGAGATTTGCTATTAATAATTTTTTTTTATAAGTTTTAGACATAGTAGTCTTACTTTAAAGTGAACCAAAATGGGTGATATTGGTTTTAGCTGGCCGTATTTAATGCGATAAATTCATATTCCACCGTTGAACTAGTTATACATACTTGTTTCTTGGAAGTCCAAAAAATGACACCTCCCCTAAAAAAACATCCAACCTGTGGTTGAAGAAGAATCTTCGATATGATTTATCTAACTAATATCCGAATATCCTTCAAATACCTAAGGAAATCCTATGTGTGATAAATCATAGTCTATAGTTGATTTCAAGTACTTAAATATCTTTTTATGTATACGCCAATAGTAAGTACTAGGTTTACTAGTGAACGTATTCAACCTTCTGATTGGATGCAATATCTGGTCTTATGCTTGTCATAACATACATCAAGCATCTAATGGTTACTTGCATACTCAAGTTGTGAGGTTGGTTCTTCCATATAAGGAACAAGCTTTAAACTTGGATCAAATGGTGTATTAACCGAGGAAATTTTTATATATTAAACCTTTTGAGAATATTTTCTATATAGTGTGATTGTGTAAGCACAATTTTTTTTAGGTTCTCTCTTGATTTTAATTCCAAGACTAACATCCCTATCATCTATATCTTTCATAGAAAAAAATTGGAGGATAGAAATATTTTTTGTTTCCTCCACTAGAGTGTTATATGTTCCAAATATTCACAGAACATCGATATAAACACGAATAATCATTCCATTGCTGGTGTGATCAAATCTACTGTACATGTATTTTTCTGCTTGATTCAAAATAATTTCATTAGACAACACAACCTTATCACAATTTTGATGTCATTGTTTGAGTGTTTGTCTCAAATTATAAAATGTTGTAATAAGCTTGCAAACCAAATGTTCATTTCCTGAGTAACAAAACCTGCTGATTACTTCATGTATACCTCTTCTCCTAAATCATTATTTAGGAATGGAGTTTTAACATTCATTTGACGAATAATTGTATGTTGATACCAAATCAATCAATAATCTAATGATGGTCCTACAAGCTATAGGTACATAGGTATCGAAGTAGCTGATTCTTTTTTTTTTTTTTTTGCCTAAAGTTTTGGATAACAACTCGAGCTTTAAACTTATCAATTATTCTATTTGTTTTTATTTTCTTCTTGAAAAGTCATCTACAACCTAAAGGCTATGACCTTAAGGTAGATCTATTAAAATCCATGTATTATTCTCCATAATGGAGCTTCGCTATAGCTCCTTCCAAAGGAAAGTCTCCCTCGATTTCATAACTTCATGAAAGATTCTTGGTCATCCAAATGGTAAAAATAAGAGTATTGTGAATCAATCTTCTCACATGAACCTTCTACTAAGTAGATTTGGAAGTTAGGACCAAAAAACTTGAGTATTTTAGCTTTTTCTGTTTCTATGCAGCTAAATGGGTTGAGTATTGTTTACACTAAATCGATTTTTCTTTAAACTTTCATCTAATATGATATTAGACGAGGATGTACATCATCCTTGACATTATCATCCCTAAAGGACCTCATATCATTAGAAGGTTTAGAAATTAAAGTGAAACGCCCTTCATCAAAGATTGGATCACAAGAATCAAAGATCGAGTGTAACACGTAGTCCTTTGGTTCAATAATATAGAATATGTTAGCTTTGGAATACTCAACATATCCTATGAAAATACAATCAATCCTTTTTTCATCTAATGTCTTCCTTTTTAGGTTCAGGAATCCTAAAGACCGTTCGACATCCCCATACTCGTAAGTATGACATGTTAGGCTTGTTATGAACCATAGCTCATAATGAGTTAACTTTTTCCATTTATTAGGAATTCTATTCAATAGGTAACAATTTGTTAACATGTCTTTTTCCTAAAATCATTCACTTAATCCCGAAAAGGCTATCGTGGAATTCACTATTTTGTTTAATGTTTGATTCTTCATTTTAGCTATCCCAGTTTATTGTGGGGTATATGCAACCATATTATTTTGAATAATTTCAACATATTGGAAGAATAGTGGATCTTAAAACTCACCAACTCTATCTGTACACAATTTTTTATTGCATTACCATCTTGCGATTAAACATTATTTTTATAGATTTGGAACTTATCTATGATTTTATTCTTAGCGTGCAACGAGTACATGTAGGAAAACGTAGTTGCATCATCTATGAAATTCACAAACCTATTTTCATTTTGTTGCCCAAAGATAGTGTCGAGTGAAATCACTATGACTCAATTCAAGCACGGTTGATTCTCTAAGGACTTCTTTAAAAGGTTGCCTTGTAATTTTTGTCAATGCACAAGTTTGACATTTACTTGGCTCTATGTTGAATGTAGTAATTAATTCCATTTACACTATATCACACATACTTTTGTAATGTATATTCCCTAAATGTGCATGCCATAACTCAGAGTTGGTGTTTGATTTTGAAATCAAACAAGTCAAATTTAAAGTTAAAGATATCCAAATCCTACAAATGTTCTATGTTTCGACAAAAAAACTTGTTTGATTCAAACAAGTCAAATTTAAAGTGAAAGATATCCAAATCCTACAAATATTCCATTTTTCAAAAAAAAAAGAAAAAACTTTATTCAATTCAAACATGAGTTTATGGCCTAATTTACTCAATACAAGACCCGACACTAAGTTAATAGGTAACTTAGGTATATACAATACATTAGACAAGGTAATTTTATTCATAAAACTAAATTCTAGTTTCACTTTTCCACGTCCTTCTATGGGAGCATAGTGATCATCCCATGTGTATAGCATCAATCCTTCATTCAAAGAATAAAATATTTTTTTAATCAGCAATGATGTTTTTTGTTATTATTATTGGAAAGATCAAAGGACATATTAATACAAAATATATGAGTATTTACAACTACACCAGGCATACCCAGGAAAATCAAAGAGATCAAGCAGCTACAAGTTGTAAGAAACAAGCCAAAAAAAAAAAAACAATCAGCTACTAGTCTGGTCAAAGATGGACTCGAAAGACAAAATAAAAAAGAGACAGGCCAAGAAAAAATGAGCATCAGATGGATTGGTCATCCGAAGAGGTTGGGGCAGCCTCTCATACGTGATCCTCAATGATTCTTGTTGTTGTTCAGCTCTATTGTGGAGTATAAGATACAACAAAAGCACTATTTAATTTTACCAATAAAAATCCGTTGGTCAAAGATAATAAATCATGGCTGCAAAGGCGAGTCGCCGCAACATCTTGAGAGAATAATTTGAAGTCAAACTGGAATTTACCCAAACAACAACGTTGTGGAGATAATTTATAGAGTCCGGAGCATCGATCTATTTTTAAATTTTCATCTAGACCTGCATAGAGAAAGCACAATTAAAAAATAAAAAAAAAAAGGTGTTTTTTGCAAACATGAGTAGTGCATGGGATTCAACCTGTTATACAAATTCATCATCCTATGCAAAAAGTGTTTTAGTAATAAAAACAATAAATTCTAATTGAATTTTTTTTTTAAGACTTTACCTTATTATTGGGAAAGGTTATTCAAACATTTTCGTCCACTGCTAGTGCTTGCGCCGTGGTTGTTCTTGCCAATACGGAATTCGCACTTAAAGTGGTTTGATTTTTCACAAATTCATCAAGCTAATTTGAGTTTTTTGCTGAAGTTTTTGTCATTTTTTTATTGCCTTTCTTGACCTTAATTTTTTTTTTCTTTGTTTATTTCCTCCATCATATTCAGGAAGGAACTAGCTCCAACCTTGTTCTTTCCATTTTCTTAAGTTCTCAATGATTCCTTGATACAAAGATGATACTTAATGATATAATTTGCCATAATTGTACGGTTAGGGTATTACTCCCATATTTGCTCATTAATGGGACTAAAGTGATAAATGAGATTATGCAAAGGAAAAAAAATAAAAAATTCTCCTACAATATTAATAAACAATACATATGAGTAACCAAAAACCCTAATACAATTCAACTAATTAAATTATGTATGAACAACGATAAAAATCATGTAAAACTTATCACTTGACATGCCTAAGTTCCTGCATCATTTGATTGTACACACCTTTGATAAGATCGAGAGTAGGAATTTATAGTCAAGTTATCATACTATGCAGTTGCATGTATTTTATGTCCACAGTCAACCTATTAATTTTATTTTATTGAGTCGTCCATAAATTTATTTTCTAATTTAGAAAGTGTTCTTATAATTTAGCTAAAAATACAACATGTTTCGCTCAACCCATCTAATCCAAACTTGATTCCGAACCCGACCTGATCCTAACCCGAATCGAAATGAGCCGACCTTATTCATTTTAGGTTAAATCTCACCCAATCCTATCTAACCTAGTCTTCCTCTATTTTTGTTTGATGAGTGTAAGTCTCTCATTTTCTGTTCAGATTATTTGGTTGTGCCAATGGAATTTCGATAAGGCCTTGGTTTGTTTCCTTCTCTTTTGCTTCAAGTTATCCTTCACTCCTATCCTTAAATCGTTGTTCTCTTCCTTTTGGGTTGTACGTTGTATGAAACCAACTCATATCTCCTTTTGTAGTATTTCCTCGTCTAGAAGATGTAGAGTTTGACGAAAGAGTGGTTGTGATTTGAATCTACCTGATTGTTTGATATTTTCTTTTTACTCTTTTATTTTTCTTTAAATTTTGATTCTATTATAATTCTTGATTTTTATCCACAAAAAATCCGGTGTTTCATGTTTGCTCTAAGCACATAGAGCTTCGTCATTACTTCATTCGGGAACTTTTCGGTAAGGAGAAGATAGCCATGAATTTTATTCGGACAGATGATCAACTGGCTGATTCTCTTACAAAGGTAGTGGCATTGGAGAAATTCGAAAAGCTCTAAGATGTGATTGAAAATTACAAATTAAAGAGGAGTGTTGGAATTATTAATTTAGTATTTTCAATCAATGCATACATGTATCGAATAATGCATCAATATAAAGATGTACATATATCTATTAAAATTATGCATGAATATAGTTAAAATATCATACATGCATCTAATTAATCATAGATGCATCTAGACTACTTTTGTACCTATAAATATGCATCTATGTTTGTCATTTGACATCAAGCAGCACAAAAATAATATATATATATATATATATCTTTCAAAGCACTATTTCCTAGCCCTATTTGATTTGTTGTCTTCTTTTTCCTAAGGTTGTGTTCGGTTCACGAATTTTCTTCGATTTATTTATGCTATAGAGATACTATGCATTTTGGGGTTTAAATATCCTACTTCAAATCCTACTCTAATTTCTTTCACCTTACACCTGCACCAATGCTTTGTCGGACAGAGGTGTCTCGTCGCCCAAGAAGAATTAGAGATAAAATAATTGAAACTGTTTCTTCAATTTAAAAATATTAATTTTTTTTATTATTTTTCTATGAAATAAATCTGTTCCCACACTATTAATAAAATATTTATTTTCAAAATTATAAAATACAATTTAATATTAACCCATCAAATCAATATTTATATTTAACTGCTAAACTAATTTAATAATATTAAATATTTTATTATTTCAAAATATCACATCAAAATTTCAATTCAATGGATAAAATAATAATATTTTTCAATATAATCATTACAAAATTCAAACTTCTAAACAAACATATCTTAAAAATTTATGCTTCAAAATCCTCAAAAATTCAAATCCAAAATCAAAATCCCCGAACAAACACACCCTAACACAAGATTCATATACAGGGTAAGTATGATGCTAAGTTAACTGCAAAGAAGAAGAAGATATACTAGTTGTACATATAGATTAATTTAATTCTCATCTAATTCTATTGGGTAAATAGATATAGGCATCGATGGGTAATCCCCTCTCAATTTGTAGAGAAGATGGAGTTGAATCTGTAAATAATTAAGCTTATACTTATATATAATACTGACGAGGTTTAGTTGGAAAGTGTAGATCCATTGCATAGTCGTCCCAAATGAATGAATTAAGTGGTAGCTTGTTTTCCAATCTTGTGGAGGGCTTTGATAACCTCTTCTGTGGTGATGTTTCCCGTCACGGTCACCTTGTTCGATTGCGTGTCCACGTCGTATGTCTCTATGTCTGATCGATGGATCGATCAATAGAGTCGTCCAGTCCACACAAATTAACAAACAGGCATCGTGTTAATAAAATTATGTTAGTTATTCGAAGGATCTAGCTGGTTTGTAGCAGCTTTATATATATATATATATATATTTTTTTTTTATTTAACGTACCTTCGATTTTCTTGATGGCCTTCAAGATTTTCTTGATGCACTCTTCGCAGTGGAGCCCTACCTTCAGCTCCACAACCTGCATACATAAATACATACATTTATATATGCATAATCAAGCATATATATGTTTTCTTGGCAGAAAATTGAAACTTACATACATTATTAGCCATTGAGGGGGGGGGGGGGTTGGGTTTGGTTGGGGATTGCGGAGTTGGGACAAACCACCAGCTCAAGAATTATATTCTGGTTGAGTATGTGAGTCAGTAAAATAGCATGTTTATGTATGGGCTTGCTTGCTTGCTTGCTTTAATTGTGTTATTCCTTTTGTGTTTGGGTGTGTTTCTTTAGGAGGGTTTGGGTTTAATTTTTATCTAAATTTTGAGGTGGGTTTGAATTGATGTATTCCTTTTGTGATAAGGTTTAGGTTGAATTTGCAAAATTTTGATGTATATTGATTTGATAATATGAATATAATAATATAAATGTGTATTATTCTGTACAATTTAATTATAAATTTATATAATATCTATATATATATTTCTAAATTTTTATTTATGTATATTATAAAAAAATTTATTGTTTACAAAATAACATATACTCCCTCCGTCTCATTGAAAGGTTACTATTTTATATTTCGTCCAGTCCAAAATAAGTTATCATTTCCTAATTTAGTAACTGTACTATCTATCTAACGTAGTAAATACCATTTCAACTTACAATATATTACACAAATATCGTTACTTTTATATTAGACTATATTTTTGTCTTTATCATTACAATTCAATATAATATTAATATTAAAAAATCTACGTAAAAAAACAAATGATACCCTTCCAATGGGACAGATGAAGTATATTGTATATATTTTATTAAATTATACAGATTATAAAAATTTTAATTTACATTTATAATATAAATTTTAAAAAAATTGAAAAAATTATAAAACAAAAAAGTATGTCAGCGCGTGCCGCCCCTGTTTGCACAGTGAATCAACTCAAACCTGGGCCCGAGCAACACACCATTTATTATATGTCTATTGATTCTTTCTTTCTTTTTTTTTTTTTTAAAAAAAAATACTATATATGTATGTGTATGTGTGTGAACATATTACTTCCTCCGTTCTATCTATCATGTTCACAACGCTTTTTCTGTCTGTCTCACATTTTTATTTTTATTTTTTGAAAATATTTTGTTATCTTAATTTAATTTATAATTATTTATATTATAAAATAATTATTTTTACTAATATATTTTTAATTATCTATTAATTATATTTATTCTAAACTCTCGTGTTTTCCATACATTCAATGTGAAATGTAGGAAGTACGGTAGGTAATGTTGATGAGGAAGATGGAGGGGTGGGGTGGGGTGGGGTGGGTATCTGATTCTTTTCTTGGTTGATTGAGGACACTCATTCTTCAAGTTTGGGTTGTGGGAAAAGCAGCTTTAAGTCACTTTCTAGACGACACAACTTCCTCCCAGTTGTACGCTTTATTGCTGCTATCCAGCTGAGATATCGATGTTAGGGTTCCTTCGATTAAGGATGTTAATTATTTAGGAAGCATTTAGTTGGCAATAAATATTTTTATATGAATTTCTGAAAAATTTGAATATAATTATTTTTAGAAAAAGTATGTTTGTCCATTCTTTTTTTTTTATATATAATTTTTATAATATATTGTATAATATTATTTTACAAAAATCAATATTTAACATAAAATATTATTTTTATACTACAAATACGATTCTCATACTTCATATTAAAAAAAAAATCTTTAAATCAAAATACTAAACAAACAAACCCGTTTGTTTGACTACATAAATTTTAAAAATAATACTCTCTTCATCCAAATCATACCTATTTGTTTGATTTTTGTATATGAATTTAAACATATTAGTATCTTATTGATATGTAGATGTAAAATTTTTTTACCTTTGACACTAGTAGTGTTGAAAGAATAATAATAAAAAATAGAAGTATTTTGACATTTAGATGAGAGATATTTCGACGGCACTTAAAGTGGTGATGAAGCCAAATTAACACCATGCCAATTTGATCGACTTAACAAATCGTAATGAAGTAATTAATAATTCGTTACAAAGCAAATATCATAACATATTAACTTGAAATAATTAGTATTTCATCACCAAACAAATAACATACCTTATGTTGTTATATATTATTATATTAATATTTGTTACTTTTTTTATAAATATTTGTTGATTAAGTTAAATTGCTATTGTGAAATCAGAATATATTTTGTTGCAATATAATTATATAATATATTATTAAAATATATGATATGTATTATATTAATATGTTTTATTTTCTTTGTATATATTTGTTGATTAAATCAAATTATTATCATGTATTTTTACTAAAAAAAAAATAATAAATAAATAAAAACATTTGATTTGGACAGAAGAAAATAACAAAATAGATACATATGACTTTGAGTAATATTTTAGTGTTAAAGTGAAGTATTTAAAAATTAAAGTAGGGGAATTACCAAAAAGTTATTAAAATTTTGATACAATGTGATAAAGAAAATAGAAAGAAAATAGTAAAAACTTGGTTATTATTTATTTGAATATGATAATAAAATTTTGAATGGCTAGTAATCACTCTGTCTTGGGTAATTTGTTTATTTTAATTTAGGCACGAAGTTTTAGATATTATTAATTATTAAATAATTAAGAAATATATTTCTAAAAATATACTACAAAAAAATTTTGTTTTACCTCGAAAAATTGGTTCGGAAAATGAACGGTTTTCGAACCTATTTCTTATTAACTTCGTAAGTAATTTTTTTTTTTTGCACATTTAGTCTGCCGGAGATGCCTATGTATTATACCAGGGGACACGTGTTCATCGAGTCACCCTCATCTAGCGGGCACGTGAATAATTTTTATTTTGTATTTTATTTTTAAAAATAAAAAATAAAAAAAAAACTTTAATTTTTAAAAAAAATAAAATTTAAAATTTAAGAAAAATACAAAATTTAAATTTAAATTTTTTATTTTATTTAATATTTTTTTTATTTTAAATTTTAGTTTTAAAATTTAATTTAATGTTTTTAAATTTTAAATTTTACCAACCGTCACTTGCGGATATGTGTCATCCAATATGACACACACGTGCCACAAAGGTATTTTTGGGGCGAAAAACTTAATATACCCAAAAAAAAAAAAAAAAAAAAAAAAAAAAAAGAGAGGTTACTTACATGACTATGTAAAAATTGAGACTGATAAAAATATTTGACTAAAAATACAGTTTATTTTTAAATTTATACTTCATCCGTATCAATACAATAGTCTTGTTTATCATTTTTGTCCATTCAAAAACAATAGTTTTATTTTCATAAATAACTATATCACCATAAAATTACCCTACTTTTTCATTTTTATTACACAATTGCCACTACTTTTTACACTAATACAATTATAAGGACAAAAAAGTCTTTTATTTATACTTTTTATCCACTGCCAATCTAATATTAATATTTTTTAAATTTCGTGTATAATTCAGTTAAAACTATATTTATGGGACGGATGGATGGAGTATGTATTTATAAACAATTGAAGTGAGATTAAAAATATTTATAATTTGTTTGATATGCTTGCAATAAATGTTTAACTTATTCCGTAAAAATCATCGAGCATTAACCATGAAATAAAAATAAAAAATAAAAGACAATTAATTTAGTTTGAGTTGGTCGGATAGTTCGAATTGGTGATTACAGTTTCAAACTGCCATTGGATCTTTTGAATCACGATTTTGGTTCCGATTTGACAATTTCAATTACAGTTTTAAACTATTGATTTATATTTGTTATTTTTAACATTTCTTATTTTCTTTTTTATTTTTTAAATTTTAATTTTTATTCAAAAACTGTTAATTTTAATTTTGATTTTATTTATATATATATCTATTATTTATTGTGCAAAAATATTATAAATAATAATAATTTATTATATTGTCAAGGTATAAAAAGATAATTAATATAATAAATTTAATAAATAGTTAAATTAAATTTTGAACTAAAAATTAATTAATTAATTAATTAATAATATAATTTAAATCAAATATAATTATAAAATTTTAAACATAAATATACAAAAATAGTATTAGTATTATATATATATTTTGAAAAATATGATTATATATTTTAATAATATTTTAAATATTATAATTTATAAATTTTTAAATTTTAATTAAACTATTTTGTTATTTTAACATTAATTTATTATTATTTTTATTATATAATAATTAATTTTATTTAAATAATTCTAATTACTTACTAATTATAATTTACTTAAATTTTCGTATTTATAATAAAATAGATAAAAAATTGAGACGAAAAGAGTATTATTTATTCATACCATTGATAATTATTTATTTTTTAATATTAATATTATTTTTAATTTTATAAAAATTTAAGTAATATATAAGGTTTGTTTAGTTATAATTTGAAATTGATTTTTTTTTTTACTTTTGTAAAAATTTTTTTGTATTATTTATTGTTATTTTATGAATCCCAACTAAAATAATTATATATATATTTTTAAAAAATACAATTTTCAAATAATTTTTAATTAATTTTTAAATTAAAGGAAAACTAAAAAAAAAATAGCAAAATTAGATTGGAGATGGTCTGTGTTCAACATGTCACAGGGGCACATTTCTGCCCTTGATTCTCGGCCATAGTCCGTCCCATGTGTGCGAGTCCCTACTCTGTACGGCTAATAACTGGCATATGTCTTTGTATAAGTACGTGTCCCGCCTCATTTATCCCGCATTATTGGGTATACTCAGGCTTGTTGCGCACAAGAGACGGCTGGCTTGGGCCTGGACGCCCGGTGTATCAACTTTCGGCACGTTACAAATGGTATCAGAGCCGACCTTGACGGTAGTGACGAACAAAGTGGACGGGTGAGCAGCTCTTCGAGAAGGAGTATCTGATGGCACGACATGAAGAGTATATCTAAGCGAGACTGGACATTCGAGAGGGGAGTGCTCCTTGAGAAGGAGTATGCTTGACCATGCCGGTACGCCAAAGGTGAGTGAGCTTTGTTCGTGAGTGCGGAACCACATTAAGGACGATTCTCGGGGAAAAATGCAATAGCCGCAACATGGGCGTCCCGGATAATGTTGGAGACGAGCGGCGGAGTGGGTAAGTTGTGGGTCGGCTATACGAAACTTCACTGGCGTTTGGTGACCACAAAAGTGGTACGCGCGAAAGGATCAATAGAGTGATGCCTGGAGGCATGCCGAGCGTGCAAGAAACAACGTCGGTGTACACAAGTGGCGTCGGACGAAGACGTTTGCGACTTGGAGTGGGGGAGAATGTCACGGACTGACATTTCTTGCCCCAGATTCTCGGCTATAGTCCGTCCCATGTGTGCGAGCCCCTATTCTGTACGGCTAATAACTGGCATATGTCTCGATACAGGTACACGTCCCGCCTCATTTATCCCGCATTATTCGGTATACTCAGACTTATTGCGCACAAGGGACGGCTGGCTTGGGCCTTCGGGTCTGGGCACTGGAGCCCGACACGTTACACACAAGCTCGTTTACATATATATATATATATTTAAAAATAAATAAACAGTGCTGAATTGCCTGATCGAACCGACAGTTTGAGAAAAAGAGGAACCCGAACCGGTATTTGATGGCCCGAACCGCCGGGTTGAAACCGGCGGGGCATGTTTATAACTAGACTTGCTCAAACGGTTCAAACCGCCGATTACGATTTGTCAAAATATCAAACCGAGACCAAACTTTCCGAATAACGGTTTCGATTACGATTTGACGATTTCGATTACGATTTATAAATAGACGGTTTTGATTTAAAAACAGCTGGTTACGGTTTGAACCGCCGGTTTATATACATTCATTTTTTATATATATATTTTTATATTTTCTATTTTTTTATATTTAAATTTTATTTGAAATAATTAAATTCGATTTTAATTTTATTTATATATATTTATTATGTAAAAATTGTATATATAGATAATTAATTAGATTATTACAATATAAAAACAATTAAAATAATAAATTTAGTTAATAATTAAATTAAATTTTAAATTAAAAATAATTCATAAAAATATTGATGTAAATTATAATGAATAATAAAATACAGTAATTTAAATTAAATATAATTATATAATAAAAAAAACTAATATTATAATATTATCATTTTTTAATATATTAATAATCATTTATATTATTATTATTATTTTTATTTTTATAAAAATTTACTAATTTATTAAAAGAATTAATTTTAAATATATCATCATTATTATTATTATACAATACACATAATTTTAAATTTTAACCTAATCAATATTTACACATCACAACTACAGCCGCCGCCGCACGGGTAGGTTTTCTCTTTCTTCTTCTCCTACTTCTTTCCTCCTCTCCTCTTTTTTCTCTTCTTCTTCTCCTCCTCCTTTCCTTCTCCCTCCTTCTCCTCCTCTTCTTCTTCTGCGGCTCTGCGCCTGCGCAGGAGAGATTTTTTTTTTTTTTTTTTAAAAAAAAGGTAAACCGCCGGTTCAAACCGTAAACCGGAGGTTTGAACCGGCGGTTCACGGTTCGAAAAAATCACAAGCCGAAACCGAACCGTCAGAATGACGGTTTCGGTTCGGTTTGGCCGCGGTTTCGGTTTGAACCGTAACCGACGGTTCGAAAACCGGAGAACCGGCGGTTCGAACCGTCGGTTCGAAACCGAATGGGCAAGTCTGTTCTCTGGTTTAATCAGAAATCCAAAAAAGTCAAATAAAACCCGAGCGGGAACTTTTCACCTCTTCCTTTCTCTCTCTGTGCGCAACGGGAAAAAAAGAACATTCATGGCGAGAGTGAAACAACGGGCGCAGAAAGGTTCTCGCAGAAAATCCACCGGTGAGCTTCGTCCTGATGTTTGAAATTGTTCTTCAATGTCTCTTTGGCGGAACCCTAATTTTTTGTTTGATCTTGTTGTGTGATGCGTACAGGAGCCGGACCTTCATCTTCAACTCCTGTGGTAACTAATTATAGCTGGACTTTATTTCTTTGTTTCATTTTGTTGTGAAATTTCACTGTTTGTCGAAATGTTCTTGAAATGCAAAGCTTTTGAATTTGTTTGGCAGTCGTCGGCAAGGAGAAGAAGTCTCTCCGGTGGTGCTGCTGCTACACCAAGTGAGTTTACTTTAGATTTAATTATTTTTAGGCACTTTGGTTAGATGTATACAAAATGAGTTACCCCGAAAGTAAAACGCATAGAAGTTTAACACCATTGCTTGCTTGGGTCAAGTTTCATGGAAATCTAAACTTGTTATTTGAGTTTAGTTAGGTTTGTGGAAAGCAATTGAAATAAATTGAAATGAAAAAATTGTTGAGGGTTTTAGCTTTAGAATATATAAAATGTAATCTCTTATTGATAAATAAGATCTCAAACTTCAGAGGTCAGGAGAAACAAGTTTCAAATTCCTTTTTACATTAATGAATGTTAAATCCTTAAAAAGACTAAAACAAGAAGCATAAGTTGTAGATTTAATTCTATTCAATTCAAATTCATCCAACCAAACGAATAATCATTTTTGACTTGTCTGGTGTGTCTCCTAATAGTATTACTAGTGATTGCAGTGTAATTCAACGAAATTTGATTGATTGGGTGATGTTAAATATGTACTTTGTCAGATAGGGGGGAGGGGCAAGGTAAGACAAAGCGTCGGAATCGGCCTGGGACAGTGGCTTTACGTGAGATTAGGAAATATCAGAAGTCTTGGAACCTTCTAATTCCTGCCGCTCCCTTTATTAGAGTGGTATGTTCTCACACCAGCATATCATCCTAACATAATCATGTTGTGCAGATTTTAAATGATGTGTGAATATAACATGCCTATTTTGTGTGAATGTATGTTTAAGATTGATTGGAGGGGTTTTTATGTTTCGGTATTTGTTTAAATAGCCGGTCATTGGTGCTCATAACTTACCAGTTGGTGACTGAACTTGAATTGTTCTGGAACTATAAAATTCATACGAAGTGATTCACCTTTTTGCTGTGGTGAAACTTTTTGTATCCCTAACTTTGTGGCTTCACAAAATAGTTCTCTTTCGGGAACATATTTGGTTGAAGCATATGAATGTATAACTTGCTAACATTTGGACTATAAGGAATTTGTCGACTAGAAATGGGAGTGATTTATCAATGACATACCTAAAGCATGTAACGTGTGTCGGGGTGAAGCAAATCAATGAAAATTTCCCACAATGGGAATGAGAAGTGATTGGAAAAGATACCTGCACTTGTTGGTGGAGAGATTATGTACTATCAGAGGGTTTGGCCAAAAGTATGACAATGCATAGATGCTGATATTGCGTAATGTTTGATTTCCCTATCTTGGCTTATGAAACTTAAACGAAAATTATTTAGCATTTTTACTGCAAGTCTTTTCTGGTACTAAAACAACTGAGCTGATTAGAGTAGCATGTGACTATGTTGTATCATTTGAGGTGCAAAATATATGGTGTTGTGAATATGACTACACAGAGGGTAATGCTCGGATAATTAGGCTTTTTTTTTTTCTTTCTTTCTTTTTTTTTTAAAAAAAAATATTTATATAAGAAATTATTTTGATGTGGCTATATTTGGTGTATTTGATTAGGGGCTTTAGTTTGATTTGGGAGGGCTAATTTTACTCTAAATACATTTTCATTGTTAAGCTTTTATTGAAAAATATTTCAATATTTTCTCTCCAACAATCTGTACTTAGCTTTATTTTAATGCAACAATAAATACTAAGTTGAATGGCAGGTTAAAGAGATTAGCTTCTCATTTGCTCCAAGCATCGGACGATGGCAAGCAGAAGCTTTGGTTGTACTTCAGGAGGTATGCAGATCTTGGAACAGTATATTTGTTTGTTTCTTAAATTTCTAGCAACAACTACCGTTTGAAACTTTATGAAGTAATAAAATTTTTTGTATATTGTTCCATCTATGACCATTCTTGTTGCATCGGCTTTTCCCAGCTTCTATATGCTCGGATACCTACTCAAACTTGACTCAAAATCCATTTTTTCATTGGCATCATGCCAGTCTGCTGCTGCATAAAGAAAATGTGCTATGAATTTTTATTACTATATTAATTTTTAAGTTCTGAATCATTTGTATTTTTGAGTTCCTAGAATATCTTTTCACACAATATTGAATTCTTCCATTCCAAAATGAATATAGTTCTATTGTTCTAACACCTCCATGCTGTCCATTTCAACTACTGTTCTAGGCTGCTGAGGATTACATAGTTCAGTTGTTTGAAGAGGCAGTGCTATGTGCGGTTCATGCAAAGCGGGTGACCGTTAGTAAGTTGTTCACCATGTTACCTCTAGTCAGCCATCATCATACCTCATCAATTCATATAATTTAAAAACTTTGATAGATTCAGAGATTGATAATTTTGTAGCAGTCACTCTATCAATTCTTGCATTCAGCGGCAGTTTGTGATTCTGTCATATTAGTTCGTCCACAAAATCACAGAATCATTTGTCACTCCATCTACAATTCATCTTTGAACCTCACAAGTAGTTACCTGATTGATGGGAAATGCACAAATTCTTGTTTTCCCCAAGATAATTATAATTAAAATTCACACCAGCTCTTCATGTATCTTGTTTAACCTACCTCTTCTCATTTATTAAATTGGTTTGTTTCTGTTTTATCCATTTGTTCAGTGAAGAAGGATTTTGAGCTGGCACGTCGAATTGGAGGCAAAGGGCGGCCCTGGTGATATAACCGCAAACCCGAATTTGTCACCATTATTACATTGTAAGCACCTCTTAGCAGCTCTATTGATTTAAACAATGATTAAGGATTCTTGAAGTTGTTAGGCGAATTGTTTTAGAAGGTAGATGTGTAACAAAACCCGAACATCGCTGTAATTGGCGCCTGTATGCTGCAAAGTGCACTTAACTGTGTCACACAAACAGCCCTGTTGTTATATATATTTGTGTAACTTCCGTGAATGTGCGGGTGCCAGGTTATCCGATATTTGAATAGTAATTAAATAAATTTAAATGGATTGAATAGAGTACTTATGTCAAATGCACGTTGTTTTTCGGAATCTCCAAGGTGTGCACGCTGGAAGGACTGCTATTTTTTAGGCCAGTTTTATCCCCGATTCGCGCAGCTTTGCTTGACTTGCTGACCAGAGTGTCACAACTTGTGAGTGTCTCCTTCGCTGTAAATGGTTGTCGGGGTTGAATCGATGTGATGCAGAGCCGGGAGGCAGATTGTGGTTTGCCTGCGTATTTGTCGATTGCTTTTATATGATTTATATTTTATTGGTATTTTTTTGGAGTGACATGGCGGATAGGTATCAGGTATTGTTAAATTTCACGGCCTGGGACCTCTGTCGGCTGAGGTTTTATACATATTCTGTCGCTCAAACTTCTGGCGGGTCGGGTCGGGTCGGCTGTCACTCATGCAGATTGGTTTGTCTTTATTTGCTCGAAGTCTAATTGCTCTTTCTCTTATACTAGTATATTACTTGGTTTCTCATGTTATGGACGATGATTGAAGATCTAGGGCATGGAGGTGAGGTCTGTTGGGTTCTCATCTCCCAATCTAGCTGCAGTTTTAAACTACTACGGTGAAATTTTGGTTTGTTTGTATTTTGTCCAAAGCAAACTGCAGATTGAGTTGGGCTGGGCTGGGCTGGGTTGGGTTGATGATCAACTTTTCTTTTTAAATGTGAGTATGAATTTTAAGTTAATTATTTACGTTAATTATTTTAAGTTGGGTTGCGTTTTTTTTTTTGTTACAGCGTAGGAATTCATAGTCACTACCCGAAATGCGCATTTGATAAACTTTCGATCAAATCTAATAGCCTGCAAATTAGGTTTGATAAATAAGTCATACTAAGTGAACCATGTGTGTGGTAGATAGATCTGAAAATATGGGTTTGAACCTATGATCTCATGCCATTCTTACATACAGGTTGGGTGGGTTTTGTTAAATTGGGTTCGATGGGATGGGATTGAGGTTAATTTGTCCTTATTGGGCTAAGGTGTGGTGAGTGGGCTTTGATCTATTTTTGGGCCGGCCAGGTGGCGAATGGCCTGGATTTCTCCAGATGGGCCCGGTCTGTTTTGGGTCCTATGGTTCTGGGCCGTTTATGAATTGTTTAGACCTTGTGGTCTGTGTTTATAGGCTTTGATGCAGGCAGGTTGGTAGAGGGGTGTGGTGAATGAGTGACAGTGCTATTGCTGTATGTAAGATTCTCTTGCAAAGAGAGAGAGGTAAGATGTAGACAACACAACAATCTATGTCAAAATTACTTTCCAATGAGTTCTTAAGGAATAATGATACAATGCTGTGAGTAAGATTATTTGTTCGAATTTCGACGCTATCAATTATTTGATAATTATAATATTTTGATAATTATAATATGTGTCATTTTGTAAAGAAATTTTTTTATAATACAAATAAATAAATATATCTTTAGATATAATATAAATTTATAATCAAATCGTACAATTAATAATTTTAAAAATTAAATGTAATATATATTTATATTATTATATTTATTACCATCAAATTAATACATATCAAAATTTTAAAAATCCAAACCAAACCTACGTATTCATCTTAAAACTCAAATATTATTCAAATTAATTTTAAAACTCAAATAAAATCCAAATTCAAAAATTCAAAATTCCCAAAATCTTCCTAAAAAAACACACTCTATAGGTGTAGCTGCCGGCCGGGCCATTTATTTGAAAATTGTTCTGTATTATTGATTTAAGATTAACACTTAAGAGATGTTACTTGGTTATTGAATGATATTCTTACACCTTTGTTGAATATTGTAGAAGGTTTACCAAAAAAAAAATAAAAAAATCTTCGAGATAAACAACCTGAAATTGTGCAATGTCTTTGGGGGAAATTGAATCAGCAACAAGTTTAAATCAAGAATTTGGATTAAGTAGGCTTAAAGATACTCATTGGGGATCATATTTTAAAGCAATTGTAAAATGTGATTCATTTGTTTCCTTCGATTCCTAAATCACTTGATGCAATTGGAGAAGTTTCTGACATGAAAGACAAGAATAAAACTGAGTCACTTATATGTGTTATCGTTTGATTTCAGTTTCGTGGCGCGCTTGATGCTGTCAATATTTGGAATTACAAATGAACTAAATTTGGCATTGCAGAAAAAAGAACAAGACATTGTAAATGCGATGTCCATTATTGATATAACTAAGAAGAACCTTCAAGATTTGAGAGAGAATGAATGAGACAATTTTATAGAAAAAGTTCATCATATATGGGTAAGCATGAGGTGAAGATTCTTGATACGAAGGAATAATATGTTGTTATGGGAAGGAGATGTTATCGTGGAAATAAGTCTCCACAAGTGACAAGTCTCCATTTTCAAGTTGAAGTATTTTGAGTGCAATCGATTTACAATTGCAAGAACTTGAAAATAGATTCAATGAGGTAAGTAAAAAATTACTGATGTGTAGATTTTTTGCTTTTGATAAAAGGAGATTGGGACGGCTTGCAGAATTTTCTCCTACAGAATTTTTAGAAGCAAAATTGATAGTTTTTTAGTATTTCATTGGGTAATTTTATTACTAATATTCAATGTGATGAGATTTTGAGATTTGAAGGATCTAAATGAACTTTTTGCGAAACTTGTTGAGACAAAGAAGAATGAAACACATTCAAAGGTCTACTTGCTACTGAAATTAGTGTTGTTTTCTCCTGTAGCAATTGCAACGGTGGAAAGATCATTTTTAGCGATAACTATCATAAAAAAAAATTACGGAATAGCATGAAAGATCAATTATTGAATGATTATTTAGTTAATTTTCTAGAAAGAGATATGTTTACGAAAGTTAGTATCGATGATATTGTCAATCGATACCGAAACACGAGATCTTCTCGTGAATAGTTGTAGCTATTTTGATATATTAGTGATTATTAATTTAAAGTTCCATACTTTTTAATTTAAATTTTTGTTATTGTACTTTATTATTTTTAATTTAACTTAATTATATAAATTATCAACCCGTCAAATTCAAAATTATAGATTCACCACTATATATATACTAGTACCCGCAGCGCGCTATGCTGCGCGAGTGCGATATAATATAATGAGGTTGTATATCCAAAATCGAAGTGTTTGTATGGAAGAAAAGACAGTGTAGTTGTATATTCGATGTGAATATACGTGATAGAAAAAAAGACGGAGTAATGAAAAATCTCGATCCATTTAAATGGGTCTGAATACACGCCAAACGGCCCAAGTGTTATTAAGAAATGGGTTTTTCGGGATAAACCTATGATTAGGAGATCGGTGAATACAGAGGTCGGACAAAAGGAGGTCGGGCGAAGAAAGATGAGAGGGGAGACACGGAGGTCGGACGAAGAAAGATAAAATGGTAAACACGTTGGTCGGACAAAAGGAAGTCGAGGGAAGAGAAAGATGAGAGGGCAGACACGGAGGTCGGACAAGATAAGGTCGGGCGAAGAAAGATAAAATGACAAACACGGAGTTCGAACAAAAGAAAGTTGGGGAAAGAGAAAGATGAGAGGGCAGACACGGAGGTTGGACAAGATAAGGTCGGACGAAGAAAGATAAGATGAAAGACACGGAGGTCCGACAAAAGGAAGTCGGGGGAAGAGAGATGAGACATTCGATACGGAGGTCGGTGAAAAGGAGGTCGAGCGAAGAAAGATGAGAGAACCGATACGGAGGTCGGGCAAGAGGAAAGTGGGCTTCTATAGGGGCCCACTTGAAAGAAAGGTCTATTAATTGGTCGCTTAATTAAGCAACCTGTCAATCGCCTGATCGATTGGGCGGTCACTTGGTCAAACAGTAGTTCAGTCGCTTGAAGGGACTGCATGGTGGTCGCTTGATTGGGCGACCAATGAATCGTCTAGACGAATGGTTTTTCGGCCGTTTGAAGGGACCGGATCGTGGTCGCTCGGTTGGGCGACCAACGAATCGTCTGGACGGATAGTTATTCAGCCGTTTGAAGGGACTGAATGGTGGTCGTTTGATTGGATGACCAATGAATCGTTTGAAGGGACTGGATGGTGGTCGCTTGATTGATTGAGCGACCACCAATTCCCTCAACCACTTCATTTTTATTTCAAAATATCTATATTTATATTTTTTATTTATTTAAATTTATATATTCATATTCAAATTTGAAATATATATCATTTTGTAGACAATTATTTTTTAAATAATACAGGAAAATTTTTTAAAAAAAGTATAATAAAATATAATTTGAAATTTATTTATTAATATATTTCAAATTTTTAATAAAATTTTTAAAATTACTATATTATATGAATATGAATATATAACTTTAAATAAATAAATAATATGAATATATATTTTGAAATATAAAGAAAGTGACCCACCCTATTGGTGGGATTGAAAAAAAAAAAGAAAAATAAAGAGAATGAATTATATTAATATTTTTTTTATAACTGTGCAACCAACCAATTTTAAAAACTTTAATTTTTTTTAAATGTAAATGTTGAAGCCGATTTTCAACAATAAAAAGTAAAATCCGAAATAAAAAATTATCTTCGAATTTGATAAAATAAAATGCCTGAGATACTAACTGGTCGCTAGACCAAATGACTCATTGGTCGCCCAATCAAACGACCACTATCTGGTCCCTTCAATCGGCTGAACAACCATTCGTCCAGATGATTCATTGGTCGCCCAATCAAGCGACCACCATCTAGTCTCTTCAATCGGCTGAACAACCATTTATTCGTTCAGACGATTAATTGGTCGCCCAATCAAGCAACCACCATCAAGTCCCTTCAAATGATTCATTGGTCACCCAATCAATCAAGCGACCACCATCCGGTCCCTTCAAACGGCTGAACAACCATTCGTCCAGACGGTCAATGGGCCTGTTAATGGCAGTGAGATCCTAAATGGGTCTGAATATAAGCCAAATGGCCCAAATGTTATTAAGAAATGGGTTTTTTTTTATGGAGAAACCTGTGATTAAGATGAGATGCCCGATACGGAGGTTGGTTAAAAGGAAGACGAGCGAAGAAAGATGAGGGCCGATACGGAATCGGGCAAAAGAAAATTGGACGAAGAAAGATGAGACGACCGATACGGAGGTCGGACAAAAGGAAGTCGGGGGAATAAAGATAAGAAGACCGATACGGAGGTCGATCAAAAAGGAAGTGGGCTTCTAAAGGCTCATTTGAAGGAAAGCCAGGTAATCGGTCGCTTGATTAGGCGACCTTTTAATCATGTGAATGAATGGTCGGTCGTTTGGGCAGACGATGTTTCAGTCGTTTGAAAGGTCGGTCGGTTGGTCGCTTAATGGAGCTATTAAATGAATCATTTGGTCGACTGATTGGTCGGTCGTTTGGACGGACGGGTGTTCAGCCGTTTGAAGGGACTGGATTGTAGTCGCTTGATTGGGCGGTCAATTGGTTGCTTACCAATGAAACGTTTGAAGGGACTGGATGGTGGTCGCTTGATTAATTGGGCGACCAATGAATCGTTTGAAGGGACTGGATGGTGGTCGCGTGATTGGGCGACCAATGAATCATTTGAAGGGATTGGATGGTGGTCGCTTGATTGATTGGGCGACCAATGAATCGTTTGAAGGGACTGGATGGTGCTCGCTTGATTGGGCGGTTGGTGAAACAGTTAAAATACATGTCAATGGAGCAGGAATTAGTGGGTGGTTGAAAGAAAATTTGGACATGGGCAAAATAGGTAATTCAAACACGTGTCAATGTAGGAGGAATTACTGGGTGGTTGAAAGGAAATTTGGACAAGGGCAAAATAGGTAATTCAGGTGTCAAAACCCTACCATCGGCATATATTAGTAATAATATATCTGATCCCCAAAAGATATACTAGCTAGCTACTGAGCGTGTAGTTCCTTACTCAAAATTTTTTAAATTTACTAACTAGGCTATACGATCTCTCCAAAAAAAAAAAAAATTTTTTTTCTTATACAAAATATCTCCTCAAAATTAAATGCCAAACTTGAACTAAAGTTTTCCAAACTCACCCAAAAGAAACACACCTGAAAAAATTTACATGTTTTAAAATGATTATTGTTAATATATCTTAAATCTAGTTTATCACTTCACTGAATTTCACGAGGGTCTCGCTGACCGGCCAGCAAGTCGGGGGGTCAAGGATGGCGAAGTCCCCCTTGTCTGGGGTTCAGGGGCACAGAGTGGCCCCAGCCTGATGGTATGCATGATTGGGCTTTGAAGTTTATATTGAACTGAGCCCATCCGATGTATTCTCTTGATTTTTTAAAAACACCTAGGGATACGAAATCTGTAATCTCTAACGTTGCCGTCGTGAATAAATCTGTTCTCCGTTTCTATCCACGGATGTAACTAACACGTTGTTGGTGAACCACATAAATTTGTGTATTCTTTACGTTTTCTGTTTGTTATTCGATCATTAAATCTAATCCATCACAACAATTATATTGAAGATAATTTCTACATTCAAACATCCAATTATAAGGCCATGATGCAATAAACTCCTAGAAATAAAATTTGTAACTACAATATTTATATTGATAAAATGAAATAAAATCAAACCTGCAAGCCGAAAGAGGACACAGTCATGGCTTTACCTTCCTCCAATATTTCGACACACCTAACTTTAACCTCAGCCGACTCCACTTTGTACACATACTTCTTGGAAGCCAACACAAACACTCCCATGTTCACTACTGATAATATGAACAGAAACCCATAGTAATAATCCAAATGGGAGTCATTGAAATTCTTCCCAATCCAAGATCCCTTCCCCCCACCCTGCCCTGTTATCTTATCCACCACTGTCACCAGAAAACTGTTCAAGAAGTTCCCAACTCCAATCCCACTGGTGAAGAAAGTCGTCCCGATGCTCTGCATCTCCTCCGGTGACTGATCGTAAAAGAACTCCAGCAGCCCTATGGCATTGAACACATCAGCTACGCCGAGAAGGATGTACTGGGGAAGCAAGTAGAAGATTGTCATTGGGACTATTTCTTCTTTGGTCTTGATATTGTGTAGCTTGATGACATTCATCCTGTGGACTTCGACAATGTAGGCTATAGCGATGGCGAGGATTTGGATGAGGAAGCCGACCCCGAGCCTTTGAAGAAGTGTGATCCCTCTAGGGTTTCCGGTTCTTTTGTGCATGAAGGAGACGAAGTAGCGGTCGTATAAAGGGACGAAGATCAGCATTGAGAGGGTGACAAAGCTTCCGAGGGAGGCTGCTGGGATTTGGAAGTTGGGGCCGATGTGGCGATCAAGAGTGGTGCCTTGCTTCACGAATAGGGTGTTGATTTGGGCCCATATGGTGCTGGGGATTAGGGTCACCACCCATATCATGCCCATCCCTAGGACTAGTTTAGCCTCTTCAACTTGAGTGATGGTACAAGCTTCTTGTTTACTACTACTACTACTAGGTTTATTATTATTGTTGTTGTTGCTGTTATTATGTTGCTTCACTAGTGCTGCCTTGTCCAAGAACCTGCACGTACAGATGGGTTCAAATTAATTAAAATGATATATACATATATATATAGAGATTCAATCAAGAAATTATGCATTTTGTTGAGATATTTTAAATATTCAGTTTTAGATTTAGTCTTATCATAAATTAGATTACTTAGATTTGAGTCTATCAAGTTTTTATTGCCTTTATAGACCCCTTTATTTTGATGATCTAAGAGACAATACAAAACGAGTTCATAGACTCAAATCTAAGTAATCTAATTTTTTGATAAACTAAATCTAAATATAAATCTACTAAATCTAAAATCGAATATCTTAAATATCTCAACATATTTTATAATCGAAGAGAGATCATATCATGATGCACAAGAACAAGAACAAGAAAAAGAAAAAGAAAGCTACCATTGATTGATTGAAGGTGATTAATTAAATGTATATCTTATAACCATGCATTCTCAAGGAAGAGAATAAAACATACCTAAAAGTAATAAATTAAACTAATTAAGATTCTAAATAACTCTCACGTACCCAAAAAAAAAAAAAAGAAAAAGAAAAAAAAAGACAACACTCACTTGAATTTGTGACGAAAATATTTTGAAATGGTCCATCAACACCAAAATAATCCTATTTTGTACTGCCGTTAAAAAAATTATACTTGATTTATTTGTTTAATAATCGTATTTTGAAGTATTCGATAACACACACATAGTTGAGGGAGGGATGGATTAGTCCCAAGATAGCAAATTGCTCTACATAACATGCCAATTATGACACGAAAACGGTTGCAATCAATAATTAACCAAATTTAATAATTATTGATGCCGTTGAGCAGACGCCACTACACATAATAAATGATCTATATATATATATATATTATCAAAAGAAAGAAAAGTTGTAATTGGTCCACGTGGACCAATGAAGCACTAGCTACTTTGATGCCAAAAGTACATGTTTATTTGGAAGATTGGATTAGATTTCCATTGTTTCATCCTTTTTTTTTTTTAAAAAAAAACATCAAATCAAATACCTATTTTTTATTTTTTATATTATATTTAAAATTAATTTTACATTCAAAATATCACATCAATACATATTTATATCACATCATACAACTATTCAAATTCAAAATTTTTATTATTCAAATCCCAACTCAAAATCCAAATCCCCGAACAAACACACCCTATAGTGGACTAATTGGAAATAAAAGACAGGGCAACAGGGGAACCACTTTGGAATTAATGTGGTCTGTGTGTGTATATATATATATATATATATAGTAATGAATGCCATGATGATTGTGGAGATAACCTAAGTTGTGTCTCTTTCCTTTACTATGAATGGTCCCCCTCTACATATATAGAATTATTTACACACTTTAAGGACGAAAGAATCTATATTGTAATTGACTTGGGATTCCTTGTCAAAACACTCTCACCATCGATTGGATTATTGTACAATTCTTTCCAAACGATACACACATATATATATATATATAACAATTTGTGAGGCTTTTCTTTTTTTTTTAAAAAAAAAAAAATTGAAAATAACAAATGGTTAATATATTAGTTGGATAAAGTGGATATTGGTCCTAGTGGATTAAAATTAGTTAACCTTAATTACACGTGAAAAGGCTATGAATTATTGTGCCTAGCTAGGATAATAACATGTCAAGAAGTAATGTTTAGTTCTGTCTTACTATCACCACCAAATTATGTTAGTATTTTATTTTATTTTATTTTATTTTATTTAATAGAATTATATACATTTAATTTTTAATATAGTAAAACATGTTACTACTATTTTTTTTTTCTATTTATCCATCTATTTTTTTTCTTCTATAATTCATTAATGAATTTCATTTAATAATTCTATGTTATTTTCGGTCTGCTTTACTTAAATATTATAATACTCTCTCTGTCCCATGTAATACGGGCCTATCACTATCATCTTACTAATTAAGAAGTGCATTAGTAAAAATAATTATAAATTAAGATTAATATAACTATGTAGTTTAATTAATATTAAAAAATTATAAAATTTAAAATGTGATTAAAGTGTATAATCATATTTTCAAGAAAGAAAATAACAAATTATATGGAACGCAAGAAAAAAAAAAAAAAAAACAAATTATGTGTGACGGAAAAGTATAATCTTTTACCTTTTTTTTCAGATGAAAGGAGTATTAATTAAGGCTGTCCTGAGTACTTACTCATCACTCATCCCTCATCCCCTATAACTAATTAACCATGTCCCTCTCTCTCTCTTTCTCTCTCAATGCACCTTCGACATCAGGTAATTTCAAGTATGTATATGTAGGTGACATTTGACATAAACTACATATGGTCCCTCCTTAATTTATTCACACATAATCATAGCATGCCATATAGAAAAAAAAATAGTGTAAATTATATAATAATCTCTTCGTAAATATGCACAAATCACTATCTATTTTATTTATTGCGTGAAACCCCTTGTGTTAATGTAAAATTTGTATGAAACACATTCCTTGTCCAAAAATGATGTTTGATTCTAAATAAATACCTAAATTACGTAAGTTTTATATAAATAAAAAACGTAAAATATCTTAAATAAATTTTTTGAATAAAATAAATAATTGATCAATTATTTATTTTTATAATTTTTATAAAAATAAGATAACAATTTTGTCTCCAAAAACTATAAAATGAATGATTAATCAATTATTTATTTATTTATTTTATTCAAAAAAATTATTTAAGATATTTTAGGTTTTTTATTTGTATAAAACTTGCGTAATTTAGGTCTTTATTTAGATCTAAACATCAATTTTGTACAAAGATGGTGTTTCGTGCAAATTTTATATTAACATAAAGGTGTTTCACGCAATAAATAAAACACAACGTATTTTGTGCATTTTTACTAAAATGCAGGAGAGTGTTATATAATTTACCCGAAAGGATAACATGCATATATATATATATATATATATAGAAGAAGATCAATGGATATATATATATATATATATGGAGCTAACCTGAAGACGGGAGTGTGATGAACACGACGTTTTCTCGTTCGAATATAATACTCTTGATCCAACTCATAAAGCTCGTCGGGATTTTCCGGGAGCTGAGCCTTAGCATTGGCAAAGGCGGCGACAAAAACCCTCAAAACATGAGCTGCAGGATGCCTTGTCCTCCTCACTTTGTGCCTATAAATCGGCGTGCCGGCGTAGAAAACAATCAAAGAGATTATAAGGCCAAGTGTAGGGATTCCATAGCCTAAACCCCAACCCATATTTTCTTGGATGTAGACAAGGCCGAGTGTAGCAACGAGTGCACCAGTGAAAGCACTGAACATCCACCAATTGAAAAAGGATATTTTTAGGGTTTTCTCATGAGGGTTTAGGTCATCGAATTGGTCTGCACCAAATGTGGAGATGTTGGGCTTTGTACCACCAGCTCCAATTGCTATTATGTAGAGGGATGTGTAGAAGAAAGCCACCTGTGTCGAGGTGGCCTTGCTGCACACTCCATTTTCGCATCTTGGCTTCAGGAATTTTATGGATACTGCCATTGTTAATAGCACCATTCCCTGCATGTACGTAAGTATAAATTAAATCATGTGTGTTTCTTTTGATGAGTTTGGGAAAAATTTGGTTTGGAATTAAAATAATGTATGATGGGATGTTTTGTAAGAGAAAAAAAATGTAATTTTTTTCGAAAAATACAGAGTTCAAATAATAGAAAACTGAGGTTTGGTGGTTAAAGAAACACATCTAAATATTAATGTAACAAATTAGCTTCGTGCATGAACTGAGCTGCACTTTCTATTTCTAATTGAGTTATTAGTTGTATTGTAGGTAATGATGTGTAAGTAAAACAAATGCCATGCAATGCATATTGGGTAAAAACTCCATAGCTACAGGATAACAATATTGATTCCATGTAATCGGAATAAATTAAATCTTTATATTGTATTTGTATAGCAGACATAAAAAAGAAAATAGGTAAAATTACTCGTACTTTAAAAATTGCATGCTACTCAAAACGTTGGATGAAACTCCACCCATGAAACATTTATTGTGTAATGGGAAGATGATTTTTTATCCATATTTTTTTGCATGACAGGGGTTTCATGCAATATTTTTGATAGTATAAAGGGCGTCATGCAATGTTTTTAAAGTATAAGGAGGTTTTATGCAATTTTTAAAGTAAAAGGGAATTTACGCTGTGTTTCGAAATCACAATGGAGTTCTGTGCAATTTTTTCCGAAAAAATAAATTACATATGTTTAGAAACTAAAATACAAATTTAGAAAGACTGAAACATAAATCCTTTGGAAAATGAACAAATATAAACAGGGTCCCCAACTGCTGCAAGGCCCCCAAATCAAACTGAAAATGATTAAATTACATATTGTTGTTCTATATATATATATATATTTAGACATATTTATGTATAATAGTAAACCCATGATGTAGCACTGAGCTCAAACATGTGGTGAAACCAGTTCACAGGTCACATGCACTAGCAAAACCACTATCTTGGCCATGGAATTATACAAGGGCGGGCCCCACAGGAACCAAAAATCTTATTGGCCTTTCTTGGTAGCTAGGTAAGCCCCAACAAACGCAGGCCAAACAAATGGCTCTTAGAATTAATGATGGCCAACCTAAAAGGGATCATCATCATTTAAACAAATTTGCAAATAATAATAATAATAATAAAAAAAAACCATAACAACAAAAATATAGGGTTTGTTTAGACAAGGGGTTTTTGTAGTTTTTCGAAATTTGGAAGTTTAGAAAAAGTAAAAATTTAGTATTTGCTTTTATATTTTGTGAGAAAAAAAAATATTTGATGTGATGTTTTTTGAAAAATGAATAGTATCAAATGAGTAAAAATGTGTTCTGTAAACAGAGGGCTAATCTTTAGTTCATATGAAACTAAGTATCCCTTAGGGAAGCATGTCTTGTGTGGTGATTGAGTGAGTAGTCTTCATTTTGTTTTATATATATATATATATAATAATAATAATAATAGATACTTCTTGTCGTTAACTGAGCATGAATTTTAAAAAAATTAAGTAAAAATAGAAAATTTTACTTTTTTTAGGCAAGAAAAAATTATATTTTTTTCTGAATTTGAATGATAACAAAACAAAAAAAAAAAAAAAAAAAAAAAAAACAAGAAAGTAATAATAGATTTGAGTTACTTACCATGACATAAATTAAAGAGGAAATGGTAAATGTCCAGAAGCGTCCCATGTAAGAATCGGCGAGATAGGCTCCAAGAATAGGGGTGATCCACACGGCTCCCGACCAGTTGTTCACATTCCTCACTGATGAAACAGTGTCCTCATGAAGTTGGCTTGTCAGGTACACTACTAGATTCGAAGCTATTCCATAGAATGCCATCCTTTCAAATGCCTCGTACCCTAATTATATATATATATATATATATACAAAATCAACCTCTTCCCGGGTGTGTTTCTTTTGATGAGTTTGAAAAAAAATTGATCTAAATTTGGTAATAAAATAATGTATGATGAGATGTTTTGTAAGAGGAAAAAATATATTTTTTTCGAAAAATACAGAGTCCAAATAGTAGAAATCTAAGATTTTTGGCAAAAGAAATATACCTAAATCCAATTCATTTATCAAAATTCAACGAAACCTACTCTACCCTATGTAAGTGGAAAAAACCAAAACTACTATTATTAAGGGTTTGTGTTTCTTTCTGACACCAAACTCAGTTTCTACTATTTGGAATCTGTATTTTTCGAAAAAAAAAATAATATATTTTTCATTCTCACAAAACATCTCATTATACGTTATTTAAGTACCATTTTTTTTTCAAAAAATATATACGGGGTGTGTGTTTGTAGCAAGATCGAACATAATCAAAGAAATTAAGCATACCGAGAAGAAAAGCACAAGCCTTCCACTTGCCGGTCCTAGCGGCGAGCGCGGGCTGGCCGTGGAGATCGACTGTCCCGTCTTGCGTGTAGCCTTTGGCCTCCATTGATGAAGAAAAACTTGTTTCGATATATGGCTACAATATCTTTACTTGGAGATTGACAGGGTTATATGGCACCAAATGAATCCCACATCACAAGGGCATGATTAATTAAGGCTTGATCTTATAGAAGCGAAATTGGGAGTGGGGAAGAATGGGCTGCAATGTCTGCTTTAAGTAGGCAGTGCTAGCTGCCCTTCCTGCTACCGCTCACCGGAACAGCCGGTCCTCCCTTCCCTTCGATTTTTTAGAAAGCAAAATAATGGGAATGGGAACGTAATTATGTAATAGAATATATATATGTGGTGGGTTTAAAGTGGATTTGGATTACACACGAGGCTCTAATGCTGAGATATTGACCACGACTTCAATAAAATAAAAAATAAAAATTAGTGTCGTAACGGATGGTTTGGTGGTGGGATGAGTAGGTTCAAATCTCAGCTCGTTTTGTCTGTCACATATGATTCGTCTAATGTGATTTATTTTATCGGACATAATTTACTGGCTATTAGGTTCGGCCGGAAATTTATCCAAAACCGACTGAATGATCGCAATTGCATATTCTCGGGTTATAAAAAAAATATATACTGTATATTGTATGTCTTGATTGTAATTACTTGAAGGATGTGTTTGTTTGGGGTTGTTTGGGAGTTTAATTTTGAGTTGAGATTCGAATAGTAAAAGTTTTGAATTTGAATATGATGTGATATAAATCGGTGTTGATGTGATATTTTGAATGTAAAATTTATTTTTAGTATAATATAAAAAATAAAAAATAAATATTTGATTTTATGTTTTTAGAAAAAATATTTGATAAATAGTTAAAATCCTTCGATATCTTCTAAAGACACACACCCGAGTTGACATGCTTTAATGCCATACAATTTATAATTATGATTGGTATATGTAGTGGGAAATATTGTCAAACTTTTGCCACGATCCTCGTTTGTTATTTCTACTCACTCAATTAGTGCGATTTTGCAATTTCGTCCTTCAAATATTTTTTCCTACTTGCGAGTCGCTACCATAATTTTCTTTATTCATTTAAGAAAATTATCTCGAAATCAATTCTGAGACTATAGAAATATATATAATAAATATAAAATCAATTAACTTTTTTGGTATCGGAAATTTCGAGACTATTTAAAATAGTTTCGAATTTTTCGAAGCTATATTAAATATATATTTTATTATATTGAATAGTTTTGAAATTTTTGAACTTACTTTAAATAGTCTCAGAAATTTTGAACTTTTATTAGTTTTTAAAAATTCCGAACTTATTTTAATTTGTATCGAAAATTTCAAACTTTTACAATCTAAAAAATTCCAAACCTAGTCTCGAAAAATTTCGAACCTTTAATAGTCTTGAAACTTCTGGATTTATTTTAATTCATTTTGGAAATTCCGAACCTATTTTAAATATTCTCGAAAATTCCAAACGTTTACAGTCTCGGAAATTTTCAACCTATTTTAATTAGTCTCAAAACTTCCAATCCTATTTTAATTAGTCGCGAAAATTATGAACCTTTCTTAGTATCGGAAATTATGAACCCTTACTAATCTCGGAACAGTCTCAGGAAGTCCGAAGCTATTGTAATTTTTTATGCCACTTCCGAACTAATTAAAATTAGTTTCGGAAATTTCAAACACTAACTAATATTAGAATTACGAATCTTTATTAGTCTCGAAACTTTCAAATATATTTTAATAAGTTTTGAAATTTTATGAACCTATCAAATAATTCAAATTCCCGCAAGATATAGTTTATAATTTATTTATTGTGTAAAAAATGTATATATAATAATTGATTTGGGCAATATAAAAATAATTAAAATAATAAATTTAATAATTAATTAAATTAAATTTTAAATTAAAATAAATTAAATAGATTATAAAAATATTAATGTATTAAATAATAAAAAAATAAGTAAAATAATATTTTGGTTCATTTTTATCCATCTATTTTTAAAACGATAATTTTAGTCCCTTATTCGTTAAATTATTTTAATATAGAGATGGTGTAAAAAATGTATATATAATATTTGATTTGGGCAATATAAAAATAATTAAATAATAAATTTAATATGTATTTAAATTAAATTTTAAATTAAAATATATTAAATAGATTATAAAAAGATTGATGTATTGAATAATAAAAATATGAGTAAAATATATTTTTGGTCCATTTGTATTAATTAATGTGTCTATTTTAGTCCATCTATTTTTAAAATGATATTTTAGTCTCTTATTCTTTAAATTAGTTTAATTTTAGTTCTTAATAATTATTTTAATAATATAGAGATTAAAATTGACACCGATATAAATAAATTTGGACCAAAAATATAGTTTACCCTAAAATAATTTAAATTATTTACTATAATTATATAAAAAAATTATAAAATTTGAAATACAAATATACAAAATAATACTCCCATGTCCATTTTTATTATTCTAAAGTATATTTGCACGGTTTTTTTTAGATAATTATCTTTATGAATTGACAAATTTATCTTTTACGATAAGGTAGAGATTAAAAGTGATAAATGAATAAAGGGTAAAAAGTAAAATTTATTTTTTTTAAAAAAAGAAATAAGACAATAATTATTAGACATCCCAAATAGAAAAATAGAACATTAATTTGTAGACGGAGTGAGTATTATATTATTATTTTATATTATTAATCATTATTTTTTTTAATTAATTTGAATGTTAGTTTTAGATTTAAAACAATTTAAATAAATATAATAATTTTAATTTTAATTATAAATATATTATTATTATAACAAAACTCTAACATCCAATCTACTGGCCGGGTTCTTCCCCATCTTCTTCCCCAATTTCTTTTGTTTCTTCTTTTTTCCCTTAAAATTCAAACTAACTTCTTCCCGCAAACCCCGTATCTCTTCCTTCATTTCTTCTTCTACTCTTAAATTCTTCTTTTCCTCCTCCCCTCCTCCTCCATCATCTTCTCCGGTGACGAAGGCGGTGGCGGCTGAGCTAGCGGCGCCTTACGACGTCTTCCCTTTCTTTCTTTTTCTCTAGCGGTGATAGCGGAGCCGGCGGCGGCAATAGCAGCGATGGCGGCGGGGTCGACGGCGGCAACGGCGTCTTCTCCACCTCCTCCCTCTTCGGCGGCGACGGCAATGGTGGAGCCGGTAGCAGCAACCGCGTCGTCTCCTCCTTCCTCTTCGGTAGCGGCGATGGTGGCGACAACGACGGCGGAGGGGCTTCTTCTTCTTCTACTTCTCCGGCTGAGGCCGCGGTGGCTTCTCTAACGGCAGTGGCGGCAGAAAAAAAAAAAAGTAAAGATTATTATTAGTCCCATTTAAATCCAATTTTTTCATTTTTGATCCCATACAAAAATAATTATCAAAACTAGTCCCACCCAAAAAATTACTTATCATTTCTAGTCCCACCGTTCAAATTTTAACGGTTTCGGCTGACGTGACTGTTACGGATGCTGACTTGGAATCTGACTCAGACACAACACGCCCGTGTTTATAATTCACCTCAGCGGACCAATTTGAGACTACAACACGGGCGTGTTATATGGAACACGGCCTTGTTTCTACATGATACACGGGCGTGTTCGTTAAAACACGGCCGTGTTATACCATTAAAAGTATTGGCGAGTAGAATTAGCCGTACACGGCCGTGTTTGTAAGTAAACACGGCCGTGTTCGACCTCGTTGTTGACAAAAACCCTAGCCCCACATGTTTCCCATTTCCAATCTATTTCACTCAAATTCTCTCTCGTTTCTTCCCCATTCCAGCCTCACTTCTCCAATCTATTAACCTTCCTTTTCATACATTATATTTTATCTATTTGAAGTGAAGAATATTCTCATGGAATCTATTGTGGAGGTAATTTTTAATTTGTTTTTTTTCATATCTTTATTGTCTCTTATGGTATAAAAAATAATAATATGTATAAGTTGTATATTCTAGTGATTAATGGATTATATTGTATGAAAAGTTGAATATTATAGAAATAAGTTTTATATAATGTATTGTTTTATAATTTATGCATAATTTTTTGTATTTTATAATTAGTGTATTCAATATGTGTTATATCCTCACTTGTATTGTAGGAGAAAATTATTTATCATAAAAATGAGTTATGATAAATGAAAATGTGTCGAAGAAATATACGATGAAGATGTAAATTTGGATTGCATTGAAATTCGAGAAGAAGATAAGTGGAATGAAATGCTTAATGAATCAGATTTTGAGGATTCCGATTATATGATGGAAGAACAAGATTCGGAGGATGATAGGATTGATTGGTCATTGTTCGAGAGTAATGTTGATATAAATGAGTTTAATGAAAATCAAAGTGTCGTGGTGCACCAAAATTCCGAAGATGACATGTCATTTGGTGATTCTCAAGAAAAAGATTTAACCATGTTTGTTGAATCCGATGTTGATGAAATGGAATTGTATGCCATTTATGATCCAGCGTCAAAGTATGATCCAACTTTTAGTCTTGGAATGATTTTTAGCTCTAAAAAAGAATTTAAGGAGGCGGTCCAGAATCACGGTATCAAGACAATGAGAAGTTTGAAATTTGTCAAGAATGATAAAAGAAGAGTTTATGTCCGATATGCTGTTGAGAACTGCAATTGGAAAATGAATGTGTTAAAGGTGAATGATCAAGCATCTTTTCAACTAAGGACATATAATTGCAATCATGATTGTATGTGCGACTTAAATGTGAAGAATGTGAAGTCGACATGGCTTGCAAGGAAGTATGAGTCGTTGTTTCGATCAGATCCTAAACAACGTATAAAAGGGTTTAGGACAAACGTCACAGAAGACATTAGATGTAATATATCCCAACAGCAAGCATACAGAGCACGAAAATGGGCACTGAAGGCAATTGAAGGTGATGCTGAAGAGCAATATGGAAAGTTGTGGGACTATGCTGAAGCTTTACAACAGTCTAATCCTGTGTCAACTGTTTTAATGCAATTGGAAGGCGAATTTTTGAATGGACGATGCAGATTTAGCAAGTATTACATATGTTTGAAATCGCTTGTACGTGGGTTTCAGTCTGGATGTCGACCTATCATTGGGGTGGATGATTGTCACCTAAAAGGTCCTTGCCAAGGCATTCTTTTGACTGCTATTGGAATTGATCTCAATAATGAGTTATTTCCTTTGGCATATGCTGTTGTCGGGAGTGAGACGCGCGAAGCGTGAGAAAGGTTTTTCACTCTTCTAAGGGAGGATTTGAACATAGAGTATGAGGGTTATACATTTATATCTGACAAACAAAAAGGTCTTGTTCCGGCCATGGAAAAGATTTTCCCTCAATGCGAAAAAAGATTTTGTGTTCGACATTTGTATGGAAATATGAAAACAGTTGGATTTAAGGGTCTTTCATATAAAAGATTGATTTGGATGGCCGCCGACGCAAGTACTGTCCCCGACTTTGAGGAGGTGATGAAGGAGATTCAAGAGTTGGATCCGAAATGCATTGATTGGCTTGCCGACAAGCCACCGTCTCAGTGGTCAAGATCACATTTTGCGACATTTTTTAAATGTGATATGATCTTGAACAATTTATGTGAATCATTCAATAGTATAATATTAGATGCAAGAGAAATGTCGATACTGCCGATGTTGGAGTGGATTAGAAGATATTTATTAACACGTCTTCAAAAACGAAGGGAGATAGCGCATAGAAAATGGGGGGATATGCGCTTTTGCCCTAAGATAGTAAAAATTATGGAAAAAACATTCAAGCGGCTTCTTCTTGTTCACCCGTTAAAGTCAATGATTGGTGTACGAGATTTATTGTTCGGATGGGAATCAATTTGCTGTTGACATTTTTAAAAAATCCTGCAGTTGTAGAAAATGGGAGTTATGTTGTATCCCATGTCGCCATGCGATGAGTGCTATATGTGGACACCAGTTAAATCCAGATGATTTTGTTGACGAAGTATACAGTGTTGAGACATTCAGTAAAGTGTATTCGTATTCTATTGGCGCAATGGATGGTCAAAAAATGTGGCCAAAAACTGAATTGCCTCCACCACTTCCCTCAAATGTTAAACGAGCTGCTGGAAGGCCTAAAAAGGCAAGGAGATGTGACCCCAATGAAGTAATGGAGAAACGTCAATCATGGGGAAAAAAGGTTAGTGAGAGTATTTTACCAAGACAAAAAGTCAAAAGAACTTGCAAATTTTGTGGGCTTGTTGGACATACTTTGAAGGGTTGCCAAAAGAGAAGAGCAAGTTTGATCGAATCAAATTCCACGGTGGACGGAATGCAACTTGCTGAGGAGTTGTTGCAGAGATGCGATATTCCGGCGCAAAGTGAAAGTATCTCAACTCCACAAATTCAACAAGCCGAGACTCCTACAATACAACCTTCAATTGCAAAGTTAACGGTACGCAACTTACGTGGTGTGTTGATATATTGATTTTTTTATTACAATAAACTCTTACCGTTTGTATGAAATAAGTGAGAAAAAAAACTTTTGGAAGGAGAGCAACAACTGAAGGCGGAGCATCGAGTGGGACACATTGAGAGAAAATATGAAACTTATGTTGTTTGTCATTTATTATTGTGTATGAATATGACTTATGTTTGTTGTGTGTTTGACATATGGATGAATTTGAGTTATTTAGTTGGTATTGTTTTTGTGTGTAGGTGTTGTGTTTAGATGCATTAATTTTAACAATGGTTTTAGCCAAAATTTAGGGTTAAACACAGGCGTGTAACACAAAACACGGCCGTGTACGCATGCATTTCGATTCCAAAAATTGCAAACACGGTTGTGTCTTACCAATACACGGGCGTGTTGAATCATAGAGCTTGACTCAGTGTACATAGAACACGGCCGTGTTAGACAACCACACGGCCGCTTTCCGAAAATAGAGTAGAACAGAGGGCTCAGACATGGCCATGTCTGTGGCCGTTTACTTCAACACGGCCGTGTCGATTTACACACGGCCGTGTTCCAAAAACAGAATAAAACCCATGGGTTAGACACGGCCGTGTAGCATAAAACACGGCCGTGTTCGAAATAGACCTTAGGGGTCAGACACGGCTATGTCTAGTACAACACGACCGTGTTACATAAAACACGGCCGTGTGAAAAAAAGAACCCAGGGGTTGACACGTCCATGTATTTGAACGTGCAACTCAACACGGCCGTGGTTGATAAATACACGCCCGTGTTAGCCCTGTTTTACATATTTACCTTGTGTACAAAAAACACGCCCGTGTACATACGCACACGGGCGTGTTGTGGAAACAAAATAGTCCGGGGGGTTGTACACGACCATGTTCCTAGCCGTGTTTGATTACACGGCCGTGTGCGTCTGATACACGGCCGTGTTTGAGTTCGTATAGGAGAATTCATTGTAAATCACACACGGGCGTGTGATATTGGAACACGGCCGTGTTCGAGTCGGGTCAGGTTTTTTAAAAACCCGGATCGGTCGAACACGGGAGACAATATATACAAATCTCCCGTGTTCGACCTAGGCATCCTCCTGGACGACGGCGACTGCGGCGGCGAAAGACGACGAGGGTGGCAGCGGCGGCGGCGGCGGCGGCGACAGACGACGAGTTCGGGGGCGGCTGATTTGGGTTGTTTCCTTGTTTTGATTTTAAAGATTCGGGAAAAAAGGTTTTTTCTTTAATTTTTTCAAGTAGTTTGTTGTTGATACAATGTTTTTACTTGTTATATCTCTCACATTATGGTATACATTTGGATTTGAAAATTATATTCATTTTTTTCAAATTTGAACTACTTATTGTTGGATTTTTTTTAACAATGTAGTATAATGGTTTGTTCTTTGTATGGTTTTTTGGATTTTTCGAACAATGTTATATAATGTATTTTTGGTGTTGTGTTTATTGAGATTTTGTTGGATTTTTTGAACAATGTTATGTTATAATGCTTTGTGCTTGTTAACTTTAAGGAATGGCACCTAAACGAGGAAAACAACGGAGCGGCAAGGGAGTATCGACCGATGCTGGTTCATCGAGGGAGAATACAGATTTAAGTGGTCGATTTTTGAATTTTCAAGAACAAGAGCTTGTAGAACGATATGAGCGGTTGAAAGATAAAGTTTTTTTGACGAGTAAACATATTGACAGCAAAGTATTGGAGACATTAGCCATAGAAGGGGAAGTAGAGGAGCTTGTTTCGGTTGGGGCATGGCGTAATTTCTTCCAAATTATTGAGCCAACATATAAGAGTTTGACATTGGAGTTTATGACGACGTTGACACACGACTCTATTAACTACCATTACGAAAAACCGAAGAGTTTGACTTTTCGACTAAGAGGCAAGATGTTTTCGGTTTTCCTATCTGATTTTGGCGTAATTATGGGTTTGTATGATAGGGCGTTCGTGGATACGCCGGAGTTTAAGAACTTGCCCATTTTGATTCCGGAAAATGCTCATCACTTTTGGGCGCGTATTAGCACGGAACAATTTCACAATCCTACATGGTCGAAGGCATCGACCCTCCGGTATGCATCTCTGTGATATATTCATTATATTTTAGCCCATACGTTGTCTGGTCGTAGAGAGAGTACGGGGGTTGTATCGTCGCACGATTTATGTTATCTTTGGAGTATGCATGCATGTATACCGGTAAATATAGGATTTATGCTTGCACGGTTTCTCATTCATCAAGTTGAGGATAAACGTCTTGGAGGCATTGCTATTGGGCCTTATGTGACTCGATTGGCGAAAGGTCTTCAAGTATTTAATGAAGGGATGGAGAAGCCTTGTTGTCTTATGATGCCGTGTGGTTTCCGTACCCTGCAGTTTATGGGTATGATTACAAAAATTAGGACACAGAGTGGGCGGGAGCGGTTTGTGTTGGTTGATAGGGTTGGTCAGGAGATGGATCGGGATGATGATGCTCAGGGCGATGAGGTTCAGCGAGAGATTGATCGGGAGGCCGTGCATCCTCAGGCTCGTTGCCGGGTGCAACATAGGTTCAATGAGGAGTCTTCCGTCGATCAGTTGCGTGGTGAGATGTATCGAAAATTCCAAAATATGCATGAGGAGATGAGAGCATCTTTTGCGGATCTTTACGAGCATTTTTCGCTTCCGTACCCGCCACCCCGGCCTTCACATGCACCTGCCCCAGCAGAGGACAATACGGCGGGAAGGGAGTGTGATGATTTGATGGATGAGGAACACTAAGATTGAATATGTATTATGTAGTTTCCGATTATGTTCTTAGGTTTGTATTATGTAAATAGACTTTTTAACTAAATATAATATATTATTAGTTTATTATTTTTGTTTAATATGTTGTGGTAATTAAAAATATATATTGATAAAGATAATAAATATGTCACTTAAAACATAACAATACGATCAACGAAACACGGTCAATATACATAAGCACGGCCACTGCCACTGTCTGTAGCTACAAACACGGGCGTGTGTTATTTCAACACGCCCGTGTTTTGAACACTGTCTGACCCACTGCAACCTTAAACACGGCCGTGTTTTAACGAACACGCCCGTGTATCATGTAGAAACACGGCCGTGTTCCATATAACACGCCCGTGTTGTAGTCTCAAATTGGTCCGTTGAGGTGTATTATAAACACGGGTGTGTTTTGTGAAACACGGGCGTGTTGTTTCCGAATCAGATCCAAGTCAGCATCCGTAACAGCCACGTTAGCCGAAACCGTTAAAATTTGAACGGTGGGACTAGAAATGATAAGTAATTTTTTGGGTGGGACTAGTTTTGATAATTGTTTTTGTATAGGACCAAAAATAAAAAAATTGGATTTGAATGGGACTAATAATGATTTTTACTCAAAAAAAAAAAATGATCAAAATTTTGAGGCAATTATCAAAATTAATTTTTTTTTTTTAAATAAATATTTAATAATAATCTTATAAATTTTGAGACAATTATCAAAATTAAGCCATACGCTTATGGGTATTTTCGCTTCGAACTTGATTTAAAAAATTCCGAGACTACTTAAAATAGCTTCAAAAATTCCGAAAATATTCAATGTAGCCTCAAAATTTTTGAGACTTTCAAAACAGTGACGAGTTTTTATCCTCGGGTATCAATCTAAAACAAACTCTGAAGCTAATTAAAAATAGCCTAGCACTTAGTTTAAAATTCTGAAACTATTTTCATTAAAAAAACACAAAAATTCTAGTAGTGAGTATAATTAATTTTGTTGATATATATTGTATATATT